GCGAGTCTGCGAGCCCGCGCATGCCGGGCTCGAAGAGTGGTTTGCGCCGGAAATTCCGAGCCCCAACTGGTTTGAGCAGCGCCCAAGACCAGTTTCCACGGGCAATTTTAGTAGGTGGTTCGGTTCCTACCCGGCTCCATTGGGGGTAGTAGTGACGCGTAAACCTTTTTAACCAGCCTGGTACCAAGAGGCATGGAGGTTATGATACCACGTGTACAAGGGATATTAAATGCCTTACCATCTTCCATTGGTGGCCTATCTCCGCAAGCATACCTCATAATGCCCCTCGCCAAGTCTCGAGGACCCCTCCGAATGGTCTTTTGGAGGGACCGCGTTCACCATTTTGTCTTCGGGCCTTTTAGTGTGCCCAGGTTCCGATCGATTTGCCGCTTGTTTGTTTTAAGGGGGCGGTGTAAAAAATGGGTCTGCCAAGAGAGATCGCCAAGATGCAAGTGCCTTAAGAATCGGTTGCATCTGCCGGGAGAACGCACAAAAAAAAACTGGTGATCCAGGTGAGCCAACCAGTAAACAAACAACCCCAAGTTGGAATATCAGTGGTTTTTCCTCTGGCTTCAGAGACCTTGTAAAAAATCGTTTTCGGAGCCTGCTTTGGAGGCGTGAGGAATCGGTCGCTGGTTGTCCATACCCCTCTCTGCATTGGAGTGATGGCCCGTCTGATGCCTTCAGAATCTTGGTTATTTCTTTGGGTGGTTTTATCACTACTGGAAAGATGTTGTCTCATTTTGCCCGGGGGGCTTAAGCAAATGGAAGAATGGGTTGTCCAAGTTTCTCACTTGCAAGCGAATCGACCTTTGACGTTTCAGTTTCGAAGCATGTTGGGTTCCCATTTCGGATTGCATGTCATGTTTGGTTAAAGGGTACCCCAAAAAGGGGATGGCTTCTCCCTTGATGTTCCTTGAGCCCGGCCCAAACAAGGGTTAGCCTCAAAAGAGACACCCCCTTCCCCTGTTTGGTGTGGTTAGAGAAGGTGATCACCTTTCATTTCTGAGTCCCATTCTTGGGGCACATGAGTGCTCTCTGTGCTTGAAGCTCCACTTGTTTCTCAACTATTCGGATACCAGTCCGTTCCTGCAAGGGCGGATAGAGGTCCCTTCGGATACCAATATCATGGGCGAATTGTTGGGTATGGCTCGTCAAAATTTTGGTCAAAACAACAAGCAAGGAAGGGTCCCTTGAAAAACACGCACCCGGTTGACCAGACACTCTGTCCTGGTTTGCCTTCAAACCGGTACCCAATACTGGACCACGCAGAGCTTGTACCAGACACTAACCTGCGCAAAGTTGCGGCTTATGGAAGGCCCAGATCCCATTGCAATCCCCCTGGAGGTTTGGGCCTCTCAAAACTCGGCTGTGTGATCGCTAGGCATGCGTGTAGGCATGGGTTTGGGCATAGAACATGAGCTTTTGCCAAGGAGTTTTCGTGTGTAGCTGTTTTTGTTTGGCTTGCGCATGCTTCCATTTGCTTCAGAATATATGTGTTGTCGTGTGTGGCTTTGATGGGGAGCCAACAGTTCTGGGTGGCTGGTTTTTCGTCTCAGGGAACGTAAGCAAAGAAGCAAATGGAAGTATCTGTTTGCTCGAAAGTGTAAACTTAGGCAGAACCGAGTAGTAGGTGGTTGGCCTGTCCCCAAATGCAAGATTTTGATCATCTTCCATTTGCTTAAGAATATGTTATATGTTTCCCTTGCTGGTTTTAAAGAGAATCTATCACTACTGGAAATATTAAAAAAGAGGCTTATGCAAATGGAAGTCATGTTTTATTACCAACAGCCAGGTGGGCATGGGACGTTGTGGAAAAGTGTTTCTGTTTCTTGAAGAACTTCCACTTCCTTGCAGATGTTTGATTTGGCTGTGGTTGTCAAAATCGGGTAGCCCCAAAATGGGTTGCCCTGGTAAATGGAAACATGGACTAAAGCCTGCGGTCCCCTGGTGGTTTAATTTTGACCCATACCCGTTTCCTCCTATTGGTTTTAAAAGGAATCTATGACCACTGGATACTATTTGCCCAGGGGACTCAAGCAAATGGAGGAGATGGTGGTGTGTCGGTCCCTTTTGCAACCACCCCAGAAGGGTGCCTCAGCAGACCCGGGTCCGCCATGTTTCAGATTTTAAGGGCAGACCAAGCATGAAAGATACTCAGAAACTCTGATTGTCTTTGTACAGACGGGGGCCAAGAAACCCAGACTCATCTTTGAAACTCTCACCCTGTGGATCCCAGGTGGTTCGCAACTATTTAGGTGACCAACAAATGTGGTCTTTTGGCTTTGTTATGGTCTTTGTGGACTACCTACTATGCAGGCAATCTTCCATTCGCCAATATATATATATATATATTTATTGAAATTGATTTTCCCTTGGCGGTTTTTAAAGGGAATCGCTTTCACTACTTTTGTTTTTTATTTTCCCTTGGTGGTTTTGACGTTGGCATTGCTTGCACTAGTGGACATGGTTTCTCATTCTTTCCAGGGGGCGGAAACGTCGTGCCCTGGCCCAGGGATTCGGAGACGGTGACGTTCGCCAAGTCTTTGCGAGAAAGCCTTCGACAGGATTCGGTTTTTGGGTGATATATAATTATTGTATCCTTTTGAGGTTGCTGTTTTTGACGTAAATTGAGTGTTGTCATCTGGCTATGATAGGTATACGTGTATATATATATATAGATATGTATCCCTTCATTGAACAACACATTACTGGTTGCTTCCCGTGTGTTTTCTGCTTCGTGCCCGAAGCGAATCCACCCTTTCACCTCTTTGGTTTTCTCCTGTTGGTCCATGTTTAGTCATGGCCCGACAGGTGAAATCACCTGGTATTTCTGGGTTTTTAAGGGGCAACTGAGTTTTGGTTCTGCCAGATCTTCACCCACTCCCCGAGTTCCGTTTCGGACTTGCGCCACTTTTGGGGAAGACCATTCTAGTATTCCAGTGGCAAGCAGAAAGTTTAAGGACCTGGCCAATCCGCTCGAGAAGTGAGTTCCTTTGAAACGAAAGGCCATAGGTCGCCCCCTTCGCCTTCCTGGACTCGGGGGGTTTTGGTGGGTGGGAGTCGATCGCAGCGTCTCCGGAGGCAGCTTGACGCGCCTCGAGGCCCGGGAAAAAAGAAACGCCGGGCTGGTGATGTAGGCCGTGGGGCTGCTGTGGATGCTTGCGATGAAATCCAAGGTCCGGAAAGTAGGTGGGGGAAAAGACAAACAAGCAAAAGAGCCAACTGTGTTTTTTGTTTTTCTTTTTGGCTCTTTCTTGTGCCTTAGTTATTAGGTAGTGTGTGTTCACCATGAGGGGAACTGATTCACCTGGAACCTGACGTTCGGGACGGACAATGGTCCATTTCAGACTTTTAGCCACTTTTTGGGGTTGGACCATTTCAGGGGCAAGCAAACAGTTTGGGGTTGCTTTTTCGGCCAATCCGCGCGATCGGAAGCGAATGCTACCTTCCAATTGCTGAACAATATGAGTGGTATTGTGTTTTTTGGTGGCTTTGGAGGGCATCGATTTCACTACTGGACATACTATGGATGGACGAAATCCTGCACCACTTTCAACAATGAAACACCATTGTTTGTTGGCATTCGCAGGGAAATCATCATTCCAGGGGGTGCAGGATTTCGTCCATCCACCACAGTATTTTCTCAGTCTTTCCAGGGGCGAACACGCAACTGGAAGTTACATTTTGGCAAGGGAAAGGAAGAAATGAAGGTCGGTCCCTGGAGACCAAACTCCAAAAGGGTGTCTGTGAGTACTGCAAACCTGCCCTCCTGGCGAACATGGAACCCACCAGAGAAACGGCCCCTTTTGAAGGAAACCGGTCTTCCAGGACCCCTCAGTCAGGTTCCATGGGAGGGTAAAGTGACTCGTTGAACGGGGTTCTCAAAATTACATATCCCCCCTTTCAACTACCATTTGGGCAATTTTGAGGATGTCGCTTTGGAACCAGCAAGCCCCGTTGGAATTATTTCGCCCTTTTGTTAGAGGTTTCGGTTTTTGGGCTGTGTCCATCAGTGTCAGGACTAAAGCCTATGAAGCCCGGCCCTAACCTCTTCCTGCTGTTTCACGCCGAAATGAGTCACAATCCAAACCAGGTCAATGGGAGGGTAAGGGACAATCCCAGCCATACATGTCCGTTTTTTTTGACATGGGTGCGGCCGCCTTCTCAGTTCTGTACATGCGTCTGGAGAGACCATTTTCATACCGGGTGTTCATTATGACTCAGATCCAAAGTTGCCGGCTTTGTTTGACATGGCTGGTCCATCGGGTGGTTTTCCATTGAATACCCAACAGCTAGATGGTGCACGTTGAGTCCAATCTAGGTGAGGATTTTAGGGCTTCTCAGCTTTTGCTTTTAGTAGCCAAATACGGTTTTTCAGATTGTTTAGCTGATTTGCTGCAGCTTTCAGCACCCATGTTGGCCTTTTTTGTTTGTTTCCTTGTCAACCGCCATTTGGAAGGGTGTTCCTGAGTCACTTCAATGGAGAAGGAACCGGCCTTGACCGATGTCCTTGGTGGGTCCCTAATCAAGATTTCATTTGGGCTTGAGAGCAGCGGGTCAGCTTGGCTGAAGTTTGAAACCAACGCAAAGCACTTCTGGAGCCAAACAGTTCGCATCACTTCCTGGGCTCAACGCCGTTCGAAAACGGCATCTCGCTGTCTGGCTCAGACGAACCAGACGAACTAACCGCACGAGCAGATCCATGAGACTCGAGACCCTGAAGGGGAAATCGGGGACGCGCTCTTTTGACCTCCGAGTTTTGGGCTGGCCAAGATAGAAACACGCAACACAACCCAGGATCAAGTAGGCCAAGTGAAGTCAACTGAACCAAAGCCAAGTAAAAACCACGGACATATCTTGAATTGTAGTAACAATCCCGCAAAAACAACTTTCATCCAGTGAATATCAATGAATTTAGATCATGTATGGAATGCATGCTGTCCTTTTGATTGTTTCCACAAGACCAAACTGCACGATGACCCTTATCCAACTGCGTGCAAGATCTCACGAATTTCACCGGCAGAAGGGCTCGCGAACGCGGCCTATGGAGGTGTCCTGCGGCGAAAACGCACGAGGTGGGGTTTAGGAAAAGAAGATGAACCCACTGGGGTGTCTGGTCATAGGTGTCCTTTTCAGGTTAGTGCACTCAAAAATAGAAGTTGCACTGGTTTTGACGGGGTTGATGCCCCATTTACCCGGGCCATCTATTTTTCCAAAAGGACGCCTATGTGTCTGTTTTTTTGTTTCTTCTCCGTGGCACCCCTGGTGTTTGATGGGGAATTTAAAGTGACACCAAAAGCAAAGCCGAAGCGCTGCACCACTTTGGAGGGTCCCCGGGGACAAGATACACACCCGCAAACTCCTGTAGAGCCTCAGATCATACAGGAATCCGCTTTGCCACGTTTGTAGGCCAACAACGGTCCTTTTGGGTTTTAAAGCTTCCCTTGGTGACCTGCTATTTCACTTGACCTGGCGGTTGCTTTGCCATTTGGACCTTTAGACCGTTGGAGATCTTCCATGTGCATACCTGGACTCTCAAAATCCCTTAAAGATGGGATATTGCCTCACAATTATGGGGTGAATTCCCATGCTTATGGGTATTTGTTTTACGTTCAATCAAGTGGTTGTAAAGGGAATTCTCGCTATTGGATGTTTCTTGCAGTTTCCGGGGCTCTTAAGCAAATGGAAGGTACCCTTGGGCTTTTAGGCTTTTGAAATTTGGAGAGGTTTATGACATATCTTACTACAGGTTTAACTTGCAAGGGATCAATATATATATATATAGTATATTCATATATATATATATTGATACCCCCAAAACCCATACCTGAAAATCGAAACTTGAGCTAAGAATCGACGCAACCAAACCATAGGGGTTGATTCCAAGCTTCGTTCTCTTCGACAAGCGATCGGTTCCCCCAGATTTCCTGAAATTCGGATCCCTGCAAATGGATCGGGAAGATTTCATAAGAGACCAACACACACAAAAAAACAAAAACATGGCTACGAGTTTAACAGGGGCCCACTTAAGCGGTTGAACCGACAGGTTCACCGGATGAGGTCCACCTGTCCGGATTCCTGCTTAGAATTCATAGATTGCCAAGAACAGCGAAGCCTCAAAAGCCCAGTCCGTTGTGTTGGACTCTGTTCCATGGGAAAAACTGGCTGCTTTGGGCATCTTGCCTTTCTTGGCTACCCGACCGCCCCCAACAAATCCAACTCGGAGGCTGGTGGGAAGCACACACATTTTACATATTTGTTCTCCAATCGGTTAGGGGCTCAAAGATCCAACCAAATCAAAATAGGGTAACTCCAAACGTCTTGCCCTGGAATGTGGTTAAACATTGACTAAAACCAACTAGCACCCAAAGCTGTGAATAAACTAAACTGTGAGCCGGCTAAATCAAGTCATGACCATGCGAAGGTAACCTAGAAAGTTCTTCAGCCCCAAGCATTTGTGTCAGTCGAATAGGGGAGCCCTTGCAACATCAGAATCAACTGGTTGCTACTGTGGATGGATGAAATCCATTTCGCACCACCTAAGAAAGCCTGGAATGATACGATTATCCCTGAAATACCGCAACCAACGTTGTGGTTTCAAGCATGGTTTCATTTCGTCTTGCGAACGGATTTTGCAACCATCCACAGTATTGGGCTTCAGTGTCTAAACTTCCGATTCCGAAACTCAAGGAGCCATGCCCCGACTGGGTTCGGGACATACCTCTTCTGAAATCGTTGATTATACATAGGAGGCAGTGTATGCCGCCTGCATAAGGGGTACATAGCCTCCATACCGCCAAAACCCCTCCCTGAAGATACAACACCCTTGATGCGTGGGGGCTGCAAAAGAAGCAGGCACTTTGTTGCTACCATACCCCGCTGTTCGGTCGGACTGGGCAGGTGGATGTTTCAGGATCGCTATGCGCCAGACGACGGCATTCAGCTGGTGGAGACAGGGCATTCGGGTCAAAGCATCAAGCTGCCGCTCGGAGATCTGGGGTGGGGTGACTGCGTTCAATTTCTACATGGGCCTTGTTTTGTGAGACTACCCTCTTTGGGGGTTGTTTGGAAAGGCCACCAAAAGTACAATCTTGCCCTTTTTTCGGGGGCTCCCCACATTCTGGGAGGGGCGACGAGTTTTTGCCGAACTGGTGCGTGGAAAGCCCTCGGCACCATTTTGGCATGGCGTGTGGCCAGGGAGGGGCCGAAGCCAGGAGGGGCCGAATCGGGAAAGCATCAGAGGTCTGGTCCGAGATTCTGCGGAAATCTTCGACTTTCAAAGTTCAAGGACCTGAACCCTCAAAATTCCCTTAAAAATGGGTTTGACCCCCAAAATTATGGGGTGATATCTCGTTTTTATGGGTAGTTTGAGGGTCCAGGGAGTCGATTTCTGGATCGATCTGTTCATCAGACACAGCTCGCCGGTTCCCAGCGAATCGTTCACGATCTCGTTCGTTTTTTTTGTTTTGGTGGTTGGGTGTCCATTTCGCCCAGAAGTTATTCACGTTGAGCAGGGGATCAGAAAACGAACAGCCCAGAAAAGGCTTGTTCAGTTCAGGAGCCAACAGTTGTTTGTCTTCCATTTGCTTAAGAATATTTTAGCGCATAGGTGTCCTTTTCGGTTGTTTTGGTAGAAGAATAGAAGGCCCTAGTTTACTTGGTGGTGTAATCATCTACCGGGGCCATCTATTGCCCTTAAAAGGACACCTATGTTTTAGCGCCTCCGGCTCAGGCCGCCGACATCAATGTTAGACCTCCTTTATGAATAATATCCTCTATTGTAGACAGTTTTTTCTAATCCAGGATCATGTGACAGTTTTGGGGTCCTCTATTATGGAACCTTTTTTGGGCCGGAAAATGCCGGAAACAACGCTGGAAAAAAATGGGGCAAACAAACTTGGCAAACAAGTCGGGCAAACAAAGGCAAACAAATCCTGGCAAACATTGGGAAATCCTTTTCTTGAAGTGCTCCCCAAACCATCAAATTTAAGATAACTTCTTTAAACAAAAAGTGCGGGCAAACAGTCACACAAAAGGGGGGGTGCCCAGAAGAGGCCCAGATCCTCTTTAATGAAACTGTTTGGGGGTCCTCTTTAGTGTCCAGCTGGTTGCTGAAAATTGAAAACCAAAGCCTCAGCCTTTTACTTTCAAAGGAGGGGGCTTATCCTAAGCTCTCCCTACCTCAAAGGTTAAAGGCATGAGATCTAGGAAATCCATTTTGCAAGTTGTTCCCAAACCATGAAATTTAAGATAACTTATTTAAGGGCACTCAGTCACGCAAAGGGTGCCCACAAGAGCCCCTGACCCTCTTTAGTCTGACTGTTTTGGGGTCCTCTTTAGTGTCCAACTGGTTTCGGGGGTTGCTGAAAAAACTGTCCTTGGCAATACTAAGGTAGAATTGGCAATACTAAAGTAAGCACTGGGAATCTGAGAGCCAGCCTTGCAATATTAAAATAGAATTGGCAATACTAAAGTAGAATTGGCAATACTAAAGTAAGTACTGGGAATCTGAGAGGGGACCTTGGCAATACTAAAGTAGAATTGGCAATACTAAAGTAAGTACTGGGAATCTGAGAGGGGACCAAAGTAGAATTGGCAATACTAAAGTATGTACTGTCCCTCCCAGACCCCCAGGATTTCCACAACAGAGGGTCCAGCTGACTGGTTCCACTGTTCAGGGGGAGGGGGCCATGTAAAGAGGGTCCAACATTATTACGTTGGATGTGTGCCCAAAGGGGAACTGCAAAAATGTGGTCTTACTTTCAGTGTCCCTTGCAAACGGGGTATCCTGAAAACCATACACCTTTGAATCCTAGCTAGAACAAGCCGCCATTGGCAGGGAGTCACAGACCAAGTCAGACATAAATTTGAGTCACCCCAAAAGCTTCACCTCGATTTGTGTATTTTTTTCGGAATGAGAAATCATTGCAGACGTCGATCATGGGTTCGTGTTGCCACCTGCAGCCACGAAGATCCCCGTGGAAGTGATAAGGAAATTCGGCATCGTGGGCTCCACTACAAAGTGGCGCAACAATTGCCCCACAACCTTGGGGAAGATGGGGGTTGTTCATGTTTCGGTTTGTTTGGCGAAGCCAAGAGGAACACCGAAGCCATTTCGCGGGCCCCCCTATGACACATGCCCATTCTTTTTGGAAGCAAACCTCTAAAAACTGCCTTTCGAAAGCTAGGAAGCCTACTTGGGCAAGTAGCAGGTTGCTGGTAACCTAGGTTGCAACCCACTTACAAGTCACCCCTAAGCGGAGCCACTTCCTGGCCGAACATCCAATCGGTTTTTTGGGGCACCGTGGCTCCACTGTTTTCGCCAGTTGGGCCCAACCCCCGGAACCATGGAGACATTTGGCGTGATCTCGGCCAAACACTAAACAGCCAAAAACAAGAAACTGGGGAACGCAAAACCAACAAGTTTCAGTTAAGCATCGCACAAGCTTTCGGAAAAAAAGAAGCTTGTGTTGGATCAACGAAAACCAGCTGAGCACCCAAGCCACAAGACGACGTAGGCGGAGCAACTGCTTCCGGCTATACTGGCCCAAAGAGTCCTTCGGCATCCATCACTACCGGTACCAGCTGTCAGACCCCACTGTTACCCCGAAGGCGGGCTGGCGCGATTGCGCCAAAGATGGGGTCAACTCTTGCCTGCGACTTTGCCCACTCCTGGGCTTTGTAGGTAGCCAACCAGCCTTTGAAAATTTCCAGGGGAAAACAGATGGAAGGGCAACTGGGTTGATGCCTCCGGTGTTTGGCTGGTGGGTTGGATCTCTCTGCCAACCTTTTTGCCCTCAGCATTTACATGTCTGGCAAGTGTGCCCCCTTCATCTGCCCGCTGGTTGATTGGTTCTCCGAACACCACCCAAGGATTTGGGAATCATCCGGATTCTTTCCAATGAATCCAGGATGCTTCAGGTCGGGGGTTCCCTCATTTCCTGCTCACCAAGGAAAAGCAGCGGCTAGAACTCGAGTTTTTTTTTTCTTCAGCGTTCCTTTTTTTTTTTCCGACCAAGCTCATCACCCAGGTTACACTCACTTCGAATGGCACAAAAAGCTCTGACACTTAACACGGGGATGGGTTGAAATCCCCTCCCTCAAGGGACACCGCCTGTCTTGTTGCGAACCCGGTGGTTCTGAAGACGGGTGAGAAGAGAGGGAATGAACCATGTGGGTGTGGCTCAAAATTAAGCAGGAGGGGTTACGCAGGTTTTGGTCCATTTTTCCACTTAACAGGGTTCCATTTTGGTACCAGTTTTTTGACCCACAGCCATGTGTGTAAGACATATCCAGGTAGAGTGCCCACTTTTTGCCGGGCTTAGCCACCGCAAGAGCAGCGACCGTGTTGCAGCCCCTTCTTGAACCATGCCATGCTTCGGCCACCACAGCTTTTAGCATTTGCTTGGAAAACCGCACAAATTGTCCCACCCGAATCTTACCTCAAAAGTGCATTCCCACCCTTTGGCCCCAAACCATATGTTTTTTTGTTGTCTCAAGATCCTGCTGCGTCTTGTTTCGAACATTTCCTCGTTTTTAGCTTTCAGAAGCCACGAGGACCAAAGCAATGTTGGGAGTGTTTCCATTCCCCTGCTAAAAATGAAGACCAAAAAACTAAAAACTCAAAATATGCCAAACCCATCTGAGTAGGGGACTCCCTCAGATGCTAGTTCTCTAATTACACAGATGTTTTGGGAGACCACTGGAATGTACAAGGTTTTGATTATGACTTTGCTGAAATCAGGAAGCTGTGGTTTAAAGAGAGCCTTTGCTTGGCCACTAGTTTTGATTGTCAGGGTTATAAACCCTGCAACTCCCCGTTTGTTGGGGTGAATAACAACCCGTGGTCAGTCCAGATAAAAGTCTTGTAAACTATCCAGAGAACCCCTGAAAATTCAGTCTTATTGCCCCTGATAAATGCTGGTGCCAACCAATCAACCACAGGCAGAAATCACGAGGGTGAGTCACAATCAAGTCCCAGCCAGAAATAGTTGCGGCCGCCTTCTTAATTCTTTGCATGGTTCTGGGTTTTTTGATTCAGCTCAGGGTCTTTAACGGTTTACCCTCCCACCCAAGACAAAGACCAGATTCTTGGAGGGGAAATGGGTCTTTCGAGGCTCAGCTGAAGCATGAGTTTCAGGGACTCCCAAACAAGTAGTAGACATGCAAAAAAAATAAGCATAGCTTACTCCTATCATGTCTTTGTTTGGTTTAGCAGCACACACACACACACACACACACACACACACACACACACACACACACACACACACACACACACGCACGCACCCCAAACAAAAACAAATATAATGTTAATGTTCCAATGGTTTAGCCCCTTGCATGGGTGCTTCTCAAAAGAGGGTGCTTCTCAACATAGGGGGTCTATAAACTGGAGAACCTCCCACATGAGCCGAGCGGTTCCGGCGGTTCCCAGCCGTCCGCTTGCTTGGGCTCTTCGTGCTGAGAGGTTTCCGTATTTGACCCAAGTCATGAAATTTCGCCGGGGAACTTCGTATACCCCAAAAAAAGGGTTCCCCAAAGTCGGGTTGGCTTCCTTTTGCTTGTCAAGCTTTATCATACCAACTCAACCCGAGGATCAAGAAACGGAGCTTTGGTCGCCCCTGAAATACAAACTCGCAGAAGATCACACAACGTTTTGGCTCTCAGAAGAATGGTTTGGCTCAAGTGGGCATGTGGGGCTTATCCAATATTCCTTTTCCTAAAAACCCTCTCATCGCCGGCAACGCCACCACCACGGGTTCCACCGCCTGTTTTCTTTTTTTCATACCAACTCAACGCGAGGATCAGGGGGGTAAAACAACACGGACCTTTGAAGTCGCCCCTTAAAAAACTGGCTCCAGAAGATCAGAAAAAAAAAAGGAAAAAAACACCGACCCCGCCGTGTTTTTTTCTCCGGGCAGGTGGAGCGGTCGCTGCTGGAGTCGGCCTGGCCTCAGCTGAAGTCGTACCTGGGGCCCACCTTCTGCGTCCGCGCCCCGGGCCACATCTTCACCCCGGCCACCGGAGAAGTCAAAAGCGGCGGCGGAAAGGTGGAGACGTTTCGCCTGCCACTGGAGACCTGGCGACTTAAATGGCCATGGTTCAAAACCAAGGGGATCCCATTTTGGGATAGGTGAATTCACCACCCATTTCAGAGCCTATTTTAGTGGAGATTGGGATGTTCACTGGAGGGGGTACGGGGCTTTGACCCATGGCCAAACGCTGTTTTTTGGTGTGTTTTGTATGGTTTTGTGCGGGGATGTGCGGGGGGTGTTTTCGTGTTGTTTTCCACCATCCCAAACAGGAGGTTCCCCTATGAACAAACACATCCATTTGGAGAAGAATTTCCCAGATCTTCCAAGCCATCTGACAAGAGGTGCCGCTTATCTTTTTGGCACCCCGTTCTAAAGACAAAGCCCTCAAACAAAGTTGGACAAAAGGGCAAGAGCACCCCACTGGATGGACAGAGACACACTTGTCGACACCGCTTTTTTAGGGTCCCCTATTGCAAGACAGCCCCAAACGGGAAGAGCACAAAGACGGCCAAAGATGTCCGCCTCTGAGACTCTTGGCTGAGACCGGCAAGCGAATCTCTCCGCTCACGAAATGCTGCGAGGCCCCTCGCAACTCTTTCAGCTTCCATGTGGTTTGGAGCTCCGTGAGATTCGGGAGTGGAAACCCCAATTTGCCCTCAGCCTCTCCAAGACTTCTGGCTTGTTCAAGTTTTCAGTTCCCAATCCAAACCAAACTAGGACCCCAGTAGTCTTTCAGGGATATCCTTCCTCCCCATAGCCACTTTTAGGGGTCCATGAACTTGGGTGTTCGTTGCCTAGCTCGGACAAATAGGGGCGACCTGATGACTTGTTCAACTTAGGAGTTGCAGCTGGAGGACGGAACGAACCTTGAGCCCCGGCGAAGTGTCCGGCTGGGTTTCGTACGGGGCCCAAGGTCGGGTTTCGGACCGAAACCCTTTAATGCATTGAAAGGTTTGGGCCCTCAAAACTCGGGTAGACTTAGGATCCATTTTACACGTTACCAGTGGCTCAAAGTGAAGCAAATCATACAATATACATTCTATAACTGGGCCTAACTCTAATCATGAAAGAAGTCGCTGTCTTTGACGTTGGTCTCATATTTTTCATGCAAGCAGTGGCCAACAACAAATTGCAGTTGCATCAGCGCTCTCCATAGGAGTCGAATCCTAAACCTATCAAGCCGAGCTCCAGGGGATGTCTTGTGGCTGTGGGCCAAAAATGGGTACCCAAAATGGAACCCTGGTAAATGGAACCCATGACGAAAACAGGCGGCCCCCTGGTGGTTTAGTTTTGACCCACACCCTTGTGGGTGTCTCCTTTTCAGGCTGCTCCTGTTGTGTGGGGTTTAAAGGAAAGCCACCATTTTTTTGGGGGGGCCACGTCCAAAAAAAAGGCGACACCGGGTCGAAGAGCTTCACTGCAAAGCACATCAGCTAATGTGTTTGTGCTTATATATCCTCACTGTTCTTGGCAAGTGTTTTTCCTAGTTGTTTAGTTCTGTTCATTTTGAGTGGGGGGCTGCAAAAAACAAGGTTTTTTGCTACCATACCAAGGGTTGTGAAGATGTTTAAAAGAATGTGTTCTATCATTCGCCTTCAATACATGGTTGTTGTTGGGAAACATTTTACATTTTTGCTTATTGAGGTTTAGTGGGAAATCCCCACTTAAGTGCTTTTTATTTGCTCCCCTTCCAACGTCAACCAAGAATAGGTCTTGTTCGTGCTTATCCTTGCCATGATTCGCCTAAGAGGTGATGAGTGTTGCATTTGCGTTACACTTGGATGTTCAACCTACTTATAACCAGTTCGCCAACTAACCCCAGTTACCCCAGGCAACTGACCTTTGACCTTGGTTTTACGTGAGCAACAGGCAAGCATGGAACCTATCGCTGAGGAGATGAAGGTGACCTGGGCTGAGCTGATCGCCCCTGACGAGATTCATGGCGACATGGGCCCAGCCTCTGTGGTGATGAATCACATCGTGAATCAGCTGGCGGCCTCCAGAAACGTGCAGAAAGCTCCTCGCCACCCGCGAAAATTTCGGGGAACCAAGCGGAAAGCGTTTCCGCTGTACCCGGTTGGTGCGTAACCCTGCGAGCCATTTTCCCTTTTGATGTTTGAAGGATGGTTCCCTTGGTTTCCTGCTAAGTGTTAAGGTAAATGGATCCACTGGATTAAGCGACAAGGCATGAACCCCCCCAAACAACAAACAACGGAACGGAGCCTGCAGGATGGATTTCATTTTTTGTCTAGGCGTGCAAGTAGTGTATGGTTGTCTTCCAAATTTGCCCACTTGCGACTGTGATGACTGTGACGCATGTCTCAACATGTGATGACTGTGATGACTGTGCGTGTCTCAACATGGCTTGCTCGTTTCCTTGTGGCTTCACTTCAAAGCCGACCAGGAAAGGGTCGCTAAAGACAGGCCCAGCGAATCCCTTTTGAATAAAAAAGACGCCATGAAGCGAGGCAGTGCTTGCAAAACCCCCGGAGTGAGGAAGCGCTTAAAACCCACGCGACTTGGAACATTGTCTCCTCAGGGTGCAGTGCAAAACTATCTGGAATTCGTGAGATGTGTAAATGTTCACCCACAAATGTTTCGATGTCCACGAGGTCTGCCAGGCTTGCCGGGAAGGTGTTTCGAACATCGAACTTGCCGGGAAGGTGTTTCGAACATGCCTGGAGTGCCTAGTCATGAGCCATCAAACCGAAGAGCTCGATGAAGACTGCAGTCCTCTTGTTTGTTTTGCTTGCAGTCCGCAAAGAGGTAGGGCTGCCTTTCCCCAAGAGGGTGCGACTTCCTCGCTCCCTGCGTCCAAGGTTGGGCGCCGCTGATTGCTTTGTTTGCTCAAGCCATCCCAGCCACTATGCCTTGTACAACTGAGGTCCTTCGCAGTATCCATCCTATACCATTGCAGTATCCATCTTCTCCACAACCCCTCTGTAGCCATCCCAGCCACGATGTCTTATACAATTGCGCCATGACGCTTCGAGGTCCTTGGCAGAATCCATCTTCTCCGCAAGGCCTCCGCAGCCCTCCCAGACGCCTTATACCATTGCAGTATCCATCTTCTCCACGAGGCCTCTGCAGCCATCCCAGATGCCCTATACCATTGCAGTATCCATCTTTTCCACAAGGCCTTTGCAGCCATCCCAGCCACCATGGTCCTTAGCATCATCTATCTTCTTCAGCAGGCACTGCGCAACAGAGGAGCTGCCCAAGCGTACTTCGTTTCCCAGCGGGAGCTGCCAAAGTGTAAGGTGCGCATTGCGTGTACTGCAAAGTTGTTTTCGAGCACATATACACACCCACACACGCGCACAAGCGCCAACGCGCGCATGCGCGCACACACAGAGACACTGAGGCAGCCTGCTTGGCAGCCTGCGGGGCACGTATGTGCCATGTGGAACATTGCAACACGGGTCGTGAACATGGGTACCATTTGGGCTGGATGTCGGGGACTTACCCGACACCTTCCATTTTTCCTTCTTGGAAACATGTCTGGCCTTCCTAAAGGCGCAAGTTTGGACGCTTGGAGGTCCAACTGGCCCCAGAGAGGCTTCCACACGCGCTGAAGCGGTCACAGGACACATAGCTCGAGGCCAATAAGTGATTCCTGCCAAGCACCGGATATGCTGGCGAACCACCATTGACTTTTGCTTTTGGCTAGGGGCGTGTAACGGGTGACTGCGCTCAGTCAGGTTGGCAAGCGGCATTACGACACCACCTTGGAGGGTGCCAAAGGACATCACGAAGTGATCAGTGCCTTTAGCATCAACATGGTGGCAAGCTGCGTGGGGCCTCTCATGCAACTGGATGTGATGCATCGACCGGTGGGCAGAAAGACCTTGGTGGACGTCATCAGTGCCAACATGGAAGGCACTGACATCTTGCAGCACCAGGCAGACAAGGAGATAGAGAAGGAGTGGCTGAGGTGCTGCGTTTCCGCAACTGTTGTCACTTCCTACAACAACCGGCCGTACCGGATCAAGAAGGTCCACTTTGATAAGAACCCGTCGCATGTGTTTCAGATGTATGAGAGAGAGGCACGGCAGTTCATCGAAATGTCGTTGGAGAAATACGTGGAGGTGCATTACAACCGTAAGATCCACATGAAGAGGCAGCCCTTGCTGGAAGCCTTCCCGGAGAAGGCTTCGGAGACGGTTCTCTTGCTGCCGGAGCTTTGCCTTCCTACCGGGGTGAACGAAGAGATCCGGAGGGACAAGAACCCACTGGGCGAGGCCCTGAAGCAGCTCAAGGTCTCACCGCAGGACTGGGCTGGGGGGGCAGTTTCGGGACACTGGCAGTAGAGATGTTGCTTTGCACGCCTGAAAGCTGCGCAATCAATCTCTCCCCGGGATGGGCCGCATGGCTGGAGGTTTGTGACAGAGTGCACTTTGCACCTGGCACTTGTTCAAGGACGGACTTTTGAGCCCCCTGGCTGAAGGCCTGGTAGCCTTGCAAGCTTTGCTGACTGCGGTACAGTTTATACTTGTTCCTATTGGAACCAAACACAGTTCACAAGTCCATTTGGTCATGTACCTCTTCAATACATATTTACCTTCTGCATCGGAGTAAGCCATATGCCAGGGACCTACAAGGTGTACGTATTCCGGGGCCACTTGGGACCCCCTATTTACAACCTCCATTGTGGTAGCGGAGATTCCGAAAGCAGGAAGTCGAGTGAAGAGGACTTCTATGGAGCAGAAGCACCCGCAGCGGCTTCCTTGGCAGCCGTCATGACGGCGTGAGTTCCCATGAAGAGGCCATCGGCCTTTCAATGCAAAATTGCCTCCATCGTATAACGGCCGTTTTAGTTGCGAAGATCTGGTACGGGGTTGGATTACCTTCACGGTTATAGAACCCGCACGACAAGGCCCGCTTCGAGGACGCAGCAATGTACCGAGACTTCTGGGCAATGAGAAACTCATAGATCCAGAAGAAGCACTTTCTTAACTTCCTTTGCGGATACTTCTTGAAGGGCACGCAGAATGCATTCCTTTACAGATTCCTCAGTTTCTTCAATCATCGCCGCGGGAACAACCAATTCGTGACCTTTATCAGTTACGCAGCGTGGCTCAACATCCTCACACACTGAACCTGGAGAACCTACAGCAACCTCCAATTTTTCCGGGAAACAAAAGGGGCGACCTTGAAGACTCTATTCTCCTTGGCTTGATCCGAAGTAATCCTGGACATGTGCTTTGTCTTCAAGAATGTGACGGGATCCTAAACCGGTATCATATTGACACAGGGAGGATGCAAAGCCATCAGATGAGTCTGCCAGCCAGGGTTCACCTTCTCAACCGTTATGTGCTGACCAAGTCGCCGCATTGGGCCAAACCCTTGAGCATACTTCAGAGTATGGTATGGACTCCTGTCAGATTCGCAAGAATACCAAGGTTCCGCTGAACAGATCCAAAGACGGAGTTCCACTTCCTGCAGCTCACACTTGACAGAACCCTACAGTCGGTGAAAAATGCAGCGACGTCATCATCAGCACCGCAAGAAATATCTCCAGATTAGGAGATTTCCAAGAAGATCAAAGGAACCAAGGAAGCACAATCTTTTCAGCAAGGAAGAATCCTTCTCTTAGATGGCGGCCTCGATCGACCCACACCCGACGCAGTCCTAACTAGCGAGACAAAAACGAAGTCGTACAATGCGGACATTGGAAACATGATCCGATTCATAAATCGGGGACTGCAACACATGGTCGATGTCGTTACTGGCGACGCGACGTGCAACAGGCTCAGCAAGAGCCAGCTGGTATCGCACCCTGAAATATCCGCTAGGAACATGGTCATGGAAGGAATCGTCACATGCTTCAACCAGGCCCGGAAGGAAACATTGAACCATCCTCGTATCAGCTCTGAAGTTTCGGTCGGCCTCAAGGAGATCCATATTGGACTCTTCACCCAACTACGGCGCTGAAGCCGGACCCCGGACTTGAGCGTGATGGATTTGATGGCTTCCCGGGTTGCCTGGTAACCTGGTTCGAAGACCAGCCACTGGGAAACATATTTCGTGACTACAAGGTGAGCCCAGGCGAAAGATACAATTCCCTGACCAATGCGCAGGTTGGCGCCATCAACTCCTCGCGACTCGCGAACCTAGATGTTCTCCACATTTCTCCACGCGAACCTAGATGTTCTCCATGGGAACAGCAATGTATCCGAGGCAGCGATGAAACGAAAAGAGAGAAGGAGCGCGGATACGAGCAGGAACCAGCAACTCACAAGGTGAAACCGCGTCATCTTAAGGACATATTATGATGGAACCCATTTCTGTGTCCAGATGGCCTTTACATTTCTTTTCGCTCCGGGCCACTCGAATTTCTCACAATGATCCTAGGTGTAGTCAGTGTCCTCTCTGTATTTGCCATACATATCTAAATATTCGCACCCGATGATTTACAGCTTCAACACCGGTCTGAGCCCGCTTAAAAGTCATGTGTCTCCGTGCGCATGAACGCTTGGTTTGCTGACTGTGGTACAGTTTCCACTTGTTCCTATTGGAACCACACACGTACCTTCTGCATCGGAGTAGGTCCATACCAGGGACCTACGAGGTGTATTTCGCGGCCCCTATTTACAACCTCACCCCGCCTCCCCACGCGCCAACTCATGCTTCCGGGCCAACCCTCCTGCGCCTTGCCAACTGGCAAGGGCGCGCGGCAACGCGCGGGACGGGTCCGGAGCATCAGTGGAGAGAAGCGCACGAAGCTCCGAAGGCGGGGGCGGTAGAGGGGGCGGAGCTCGTGCAGATTTCGCAAAATGGGGCTTGGTGGTTTGATGGCCGCACCGTTCCAGGTTGAAAGGCGCGAACTTGCGCAAAATACGGTGGATGGCCCGAAATCCTGCACCACTTTGGAACAATGCAAAATCACCATTCTAGGGTTTCTTAGGCGGTGGGATTTCGCCCATCCACAGCATGTCTGGTCCTTTTGCAGGTGTTTTGGCACGTATCTGCCTTCGCTGCGCACGTTGGCACTTAGCTACGAAGCTGGATCAGGTAGCAACTCCGGTGCCCTCACAGGGGTGACCTTATTTCGGGCCGCTTTGGGTTTTGTGCCTTTTGTGAGCCATGGTTTCGGGATTGGGTACCTGCCACCGCCCTTCTTTGCTTCAGCAGAACCCACACGGCAAGCACCGAGGGCTCGAGGGTTCATTCACTAATTCCGTTCCATGGCCGCTTGTTTTTGAGGGCACCGGTTTAGCGCTGGTTTTGAGAGGCCAAACAGGAAACCGACTTCCCTCCACGCCTCAAGACTTGGTTGTTCGTCAACCCAGAAGAGCTCGCGTTCCAGGAGCGGTTCAACACCATCGTCCGCCACGCTGCGGCTTTGCATTCGGACGCCGCTGACCTCTGCCACAGCTGGGGCTGCAGCATTCAGAAGCTTCCGCTGGAGGCCGCGTCCTTCATGCTCAGGGCTCGGAATTGGTCTCCTTTTTCAGGGTTCCCTGTACTTCCCCGTGTGATCTTGAATCACGTAACCTTCCATTTGCTGAAGCGCATGCTGATTTTCGTCCTGGCTAAAGGGAATCCAGATCACCGCTGGAAATATGTTGTTCTCATTTGTTCCATGGGCCTGGAGCAAATGGAAGTCACTGGGAGCCATGTGGCCAACCAAACTCGGCGACCTGCATTCGGACATGTTGCGCAAGACATCGGAGAGTCCTTCGGAAAACCCTGCTGCCCGTGGAGTGACTTTCTGGTAAGATGTGTGCTTTCATTTGCTCAACACCTTGTGTTGTGTAGAAAATAATAGAAAGAAGAAGAAACCATTCCCTTTGCGGCTTTAAAAGGAAGCTACTTTTCTGGCAAAAAAAACTGCCCAGGGGACGCAAAAAGCAAATGGCAGGCCCTGCCTGTGAGCCAGCTGTTGTTGACGAGTTTCAGAGTTGTGCCCAAAGGGCAAAGTTGCGCATCATTTCAGGTGGGATCCCCAAATCGCTGGTGCGATAGGTAGGGAATGTCGGAAAGAACCGAAAGGGGGTTCCCTTACAGGAAACCACTGGTTGCACGGTTTACAATGGTCATTCCATTTCTCATTCCCTGCTGAGAACCGGCAAGTTTTGCCTGGCTCGTGGTAAAACTGGAGAGGAGCAAACACCGCTTGGAAAATTTGGGATGGCTGCCCAAAACACCAACACTCGCACGGATTTCGTGGCTTTTCCACGAAATGTCTGATATTGTCGCCCGTTTCGTAGCCTGACTCACGTTTCGCTAGTTTGTCCATAGCAAGGATGTTCAGGTCGAAGCAAGGCAGCTGGAGCCTCTACAAGTGGCTTTCCACGAGAAGCACGACAAGAAGAGCTATTCCGTCGAAGATGGCAACTTCTCGCGGTGGCTGCGAAACGGCTCCATGGGTGCAACAAAACATGCAAAGTGACGTCGTGTTTTTGCTTTATAAAGGAAACCAAAAGGGGATGGTCGGTTTTCCCGGACCCTCTGTTCGACAGATTGGGTTGGATCTTCAAGCTTTTTAACTTCTTGCACGATCGTCCCGGAAAGAAATCAGGGGTGTTTCACTCTTTGCGGTCGGGGGGGGGGGTTCATCGGTTTATCGCTGAGGTTTGTTGTGCCCCGTGACGATCGACAATTGGCTTCTCCTTTACCCGCACGCGGATGAACCAGTTCTGGAGATCTGGCTGCGATCTCTGAAGGACATTGCCAAGGCAACTTGAAACCCAAAAAGCTTCGAGCGAGTTCAGAGGGCTTAGACACCTCAGAGGTTCCTTGTGCTTGGCTTCACTCAAATTCAACCCCGAAAATGGTGGCCAGTTCTTTTCTCCTTTCCGGGCACTGAGTTGCACTAAGCAATTGGGTTTACAAGATGAGCAACAAAGCTGGACCCTGTCTGCAGAGAATCAGTCTAGTTTCCGATTAGGGCTCCGTTAAGGGTCACGTGCGATCCAAGTTGCGCATGTCGTATAGATCAGCTGCGGCTTCTCAATTCGCGGTACCTTCGGCAAGTGAACGGACCTCAGAGCTGGCAGACAAGCTACATGTGAAAGGGGCCTAAGGATTGGATCACCTGAAAGCGCCAGGTGATTGACCCAGCCACCCCTCGGCCATTTGAAGAACTATGGTGCCCGGGTGCAAAGAAACGATTGCGGGGTGAGGCCCCAAGTCAGGGATCCTTCAACGCATACAGTTTCCCTGTTGGACGGTCAAAAGAGATTCCTGATGGCGGGACCAGCGTTTCTCTCCACTTCAGGTCGGGATGTATGTGTACAGACTGGGGTGCTTCCGGGATGGTCTCAAATTGAAGCCAACATGACATGAAACCGACAACCATTTGAAATGCCAATTGAGCACATGAACTGAGCAAACGGAAACGAGCAACGGACACTAACGGGGCATAGTTCTGATGGTCCGGCAGGTTTGCGGATTGATCGGCTTCTTCTCCCCGATTTGAGAAGTTATCGGCTTGAGCTGAGGCATTTCCACCCTCAACTCGTTCCGCAAATGATTAGATTGCCATGTCATGCCACATGCCGCCAAACTCGGTTCACTAGCACCCTCCATTTTTTTTGTTCGGTAGGCTATTTCAACATGAGACCCGTATTTAGCAGAAAAGCAGATTTGTTGTTGCTTTGTTCTCGAGGCTCCCAACTTACAATGGGATCGACATAAGCCTCCCCCTCCCAAAAAGAAGAAACCATGAGGACTGGAAAAAAACATGAGGAATGGAGGTCCCGGCATCTCTCCAACCTGTCCCAATCAAGGGGGCCAAAGCGCCAATTCGAGGCTGTTGGAGCCGCTTCTTCGGGATCCCACTTGGCTTCAAGGATGATTTGAGTTGTCATAATCTGAAGCATGTTTGGTAGAGGTGCATGTTTGGTGGGAACGTCCAAGTTTGGTAGAGTTTGGGGTTACTTGGTTTGGTGGAACCCTGAACCCTAAACGTCCAAGCATAGTCTCTACTTGGGTTTTCCAAGTTTGGTGCATGTTTGGTAGAGGTGCCAAACGGATAGCGTTTTATTTCTGTGTTCGAGCATTTATCCTCAGCATCAGGCAGAACCCTTCATTGCAGGGGTCGGATCTCCATTGGGGGCCTTGAGGCTTAATTTGCAGGTTTTTTGGGGAAGCCCGTTTTGGTTGGTTTCAACAAGGGAAGCCAAAAGGACACAGAAAACAAACTGCAGATATTTTCGTGTGTGCCTTTTTGTTGAGGCTCAGTACCCATCCCGAAACTGGGTGCATTAAAGTGACCTCCTCAAAGTAACTCAAATGGTTGAGCCCCTCATAACCTGCAGCCGCTTCCCCCCTACTGCTAATACCCGGTTTTTGGTTTATTGTATGTTTGGAGAAACCTGTTTTCCCATGATGTAAATACCCGTTTGTTTTTAGAGAATGGGCGAAATCATACCCTCAAGAGATCGGGTATGGGGTGTAAGGGGTTTGCCCAGTTGCCCAGTGCCATGTTTTCCTTTGGTTGGGGGAAGGGTTCCCCTGTAAACTCCACCAACAAACCTTCTTCTTTTTTCTTCATGGGAAACCCGCTGGGCAGTTGAGCTCAGGAAACCCGTTGCTCCATGAGATGATTTACTTGGTGGTGCGATGGGGAATGTGGTTCAATGAACCGTGTTGGGATTCATCGCTACTGGAAAAAATATATGTTTCCAGTCGAAAACGCAAATGGACGCCCTGGGCCAAAACATCATTCCCTCAAGAGATGGGGTATGGGGTGTAAGGGGTTTGCCCACCATGTGTTCCTTTGGGGGAAGCGTTTTTAGTTTTTAACGGAAAACAAACAACATCCCAAAATAAAGCAAAAAAAAACCAAATTAAATCTCGACCCGTTTTTAACTCGAAAGGTCCTTCCCCAGCGGGGGTTTTGGCCTTTGCGCCGAATCACCAGGTGGCCTTCGGCATGGCGCTGAACGAGCCGCGGCGGCGCTGCGTCTCGGACCAGCGCAACGAGTTGGGGGCGGTGCTGGCGGAGGAGAAGCCGCCGATGTGCTCAGGGAAACCGGGGGGGGAGGGAGAGGGAGCTCAAACAAGGCCTTAAGCCCTTATTCCGGCCGATGTGCTCAGGAAAGCGGAGGGGGAGGGAGGAGGAGGGGGAGAGAGAGCCCAAATAAGCCTTCAATCAGCCCAAATAAGGATTTGAGGCTTGTTTGGGCTCCCTCACCCTCCCCTCCCTCCCCCCCAGCCCCCATGATGTGCGGTGTGTTCTGCGCTCTTCGTCAGGGAAGTGGCTTAGAACCAAGGATGTTTGCCTGAGGTAACTGGATCTTCAACCTACTTCCAGTTGCCGAAATGCATAGTTGTCTGTTTTTCCCCTGGTTGGTTTTAAAGGGAATCTGTCACTACTGGATGAGCAAAGGTTATTGGCTTGGGGTAGAAACTGGGGTTAGTTGGCTTGTAACCATGGTTATAACCTGCTCTCAGGTTGAGAATTGTCTTCAAGATACCACCTGGCACTTGCAGCTAACCAACCTAACTCCATTCGCAGTTCAGAGAATGTTTGTTTCTATTTCCCCTGCTTGGCTTTTGTTGAGGGAATCGGCTTCACTACTGGAGATATGTTCTCATTTTTGCATGGAAGCCATGCAAGTAGGTGATAACCAAGGTGATTTGCCCGAGCTAACTTGGGTTTGGCTGATAACCATAGACCTGAGTAAGCAGGCTGAGAATCCAAGTAGGAGCTGGGGAAAATCACGTTCAGCTCATGTCTTCCCGGGAATGAAGTTCGGTTGGAAATCAGCAGAAACTTCAACGAAAATCAGTCATTGAGCCATTGCAGCCAGTGACCAGAACCTTCCCTTGGCTCCCCTTGCCATGGCTCTAAATCAGTCGCTCGGTTTGCCTTGGGATTGGGGTTATGCTCACTCCGAGAGGCCATGAACACATGTTTTTTGAGGCCATGTCAGTAGGAAACAACAAGCTTGCGCTGAGCTTGAGCAATGGAAAGCGAGTTTGTTCAACCAGTGTTCTCTTCAATAAGCAGCTGTTTCCAGTTGATGGTTTTTGCGGGTGACAAGGTTCCATGTCTTTTTCCACCGTGGTCATCGGGCTGTGCAAAACCTGTACCTGGTCGTTTGCTAGTTGCGGCAACCGTCGGAACCAAGCAAAACCCATCTTCACTGTTCCTTCCCTGCCCGAGACTCAGTGTGCCGCGCAGGCCGAGATCTCGATCTAGCATCAGTACTTGCACTTGTACCATGCCTAGACCAAAGCCCTGGCCCTGGTGGACTTGGTCAAGCTCCTGTTCATGTCCATGTTCATGGTCACGGCCTCGCTCATGAGTCCCAGGTCGCGGTCAAGTGCTGTGGCCACTCAAAGAACAAGTTCCTGATCAAGATCACGGCCTTGTCCTGAGGCAAGATCGTGTCCATGGTCATGACCGGCCTTGCGCGCGTTCATGGCCATGTCTTTGGCCTTGACCAAGTGTGAGATCAAGACCTTGTTCCAGGCCAGGTTCAGGGCCGAAGGGTCGATCGAACTGTTGGGCACTTGACGATGGCTCGCCCCCCCAACACCTGACATAACTTTTCTGTTCCTGGCGTGTGTTGAAAGCGCTCTGCTGACTGGGGGGCTGGGAAGCACACCGAGACGGCTGACATCCAGCGACGCCGTGAAAAGAGAAAGCAATGTTAGGGGAAGCCTCAAGGCGGGATTGCGCGCGTTACGGCGGAAAACAATTGGAAAAAGAACGCGCTCGCGATTGCCCGCGTGCAAAAAAACGCTTTCGTGTCCGTAGGGGCGGGGGCTTGAGCAGATCAAGCTGACTTTTGCGGAAAAAAGAGAACCTGCCGGAGCTTTAGTTGGGTTCTTGTGAGTTCCCTGGCATGGTTGCAGAGCGACCTGGATACGCTTAACACCCTCCCAGGGCTTTCGGTCAGGGAAGGCTTGCAGCAGCCTCCAAAGGCCACCTGCGTTTGCCACCAAGAAGCCAACTGATAGTGCTGATGGCGACGCAGCAGGGCCACATGAAGCATTTTGACAGCGGTGCCGCCGGATGTTCTTTGAGTCTGTGAGAACGATGTGGGGCAACAGGCCCTTGCAAGCTGCAAAGTTGCCATCAACAGAGCAGCGATCTGTGGTGACACTGGCTCGCAATGCCATGCACTGTTTTTAGCGCAGGGGCGCAAGGCCACGTAACGACAGACACCGTTGCAAAGGACTAGGGCGCAACAGGATACAAGCCGGGAACTCTGGTCATGCTCAACAAACGGCGCGATCAAGTCACGAACGTGCAGTTTGTGGAGGAAATCTAGCACAGCGTCTGCATCAAGGCTACGGAGTACTCGCAGAACAAGTACCACACCGAGACTGGCCTGGCTGGCGGCGCCGCTTGCCCGACGCGGCCAAAGCGCCGATGCTACGAGTTCACTGAGCGAGTGGCAGTGCCCAACTTGGTGTTGTGCACTGGGGATTGCGGCCAACCCAAATTGCCCCAAATGCGATCGTGGAGATGAGAATGACAAGGCGAAGCGCACGAGCGTTCTTGGCGGGAAGGGGCTGTTGGTGTTCGCCACTCCCAAGCAGGCTCAGCACCAGCCCACTTCCTTAACAGGAGGTCGGTGCACCGTTGCCCCAAACGCGCAATGGATTTTGGGCGGCAAGTGGTCTGTCCAAGAAGACGGTTGACCTCTTCAACATGGCTGGCAAGGGCTCAGCGCCTTGCAATGAGCATTTCTGCATGCTCGCTGGGAGGCAAGACCCCCCATCTCTGCTGGGCCAAAATTCGTGTCGTAGCAAATGTGCTGCGCGAGGAGAGACGGAACGATCTGTCACCCGGACAAGTTCTTTTTGAACCTGACGCCTGCTCTGACTCGCTGCCACCTTCTTCCACAGCTTTGTCTGCTCAACTTCTGAACCCTGCCCCGTGCACGTAGATGAGTTCATTGGGGCGAGGACTACGCTTTTCGGACAACCCGTCAACGTAGCGCACGCTACAGGGCCAGCGGGCTGGCGAAGCTAGTGCTGGCGGAGCGAGCGCCTACATGACGCGCTACTTCAACCAGGACATGGTATATGGATGCAATTCCGGACGCAACTGAGCACGGGATTGCGTACTACCTGCACAACATGATGGGCGAGAACCTTCGCGCGCGATCTGCGTGAAGGGAGATCTGTTGGCGCTGGCTCAGCAGAGAGCCAACCTGTGATTCCGTGATTCTCGCCTTTTAGGCCTCGCAACTTGACAGTGGCGGTGCCCGCCAGCTGATCGCTGCGGGATGACAAGCAGTGATGGCAATTGGGATGTTGTTGATGAGTGCGATGATTCAGATTCAGGGGTTGCCAGGCCCAACATCAAAAACCAACGTGTTGGACGGACTGCTGCAGGATCGGGTCAGGTCGAGGAGCAAGGACTCAGTGTCACCGGCCAGGAAGGCGCCACGCAGAGCAGATTTGCCCTTCCACGCTCGGGTTTTGTCAGCCTGCTGGGTCCCCGCTTGTTGTTGCGTTGCGTTGCTGCCTACAGCTCATGGAGGTAAACAATGCACTTGTTGACAACAAGAGGCCTCCTCTTCTGCCCGGAGAGCTCGCGAAGATCGGGCTCGAGCTCTTGATCGAGGCTTCGGCTGCAGACACAACTTTGCTGAGTGTTTGATTCACACCTGGTCAACGCACAACACAAATGACAAATGCCAGGGCGTACATATCTGGAGAAGTTATTGTGCGATTTTGGAAAAATCATGCATTGAGTTCCTGCTTCAAGGTTGGATCGTGCATATTCTTGGGAAAGCCATTTTAATGCTAAATAAACGTTTGGACATGGCGCCAAAGAAGGCATTTCAAGGTGAAGAATGTCAATTGGCGCTGGTGCAGCAGAAGTCGGGGCAAAACCCCTGGCAATGCTTGGCCGCAAGTCACATGGGTGAGCGGCTTGACGCAGAGTGTGGTGACTCTCTCAACAAGCACGCCACCAACATGAAGTTCAGACGCAGGAGGCCTTCACTGGTCTGGAGAACCAAATGGCGGACACATTCCGCTGACCATGGGAAGGTCCAATCGAGACCAAACTTCCTTTGACCAATAACCTTTGTTGTGCCCGCAGGGCTCCAGCGGGATCTGGCTATGAATTTCCTCACAATTCCCACTTCAAGAATTCCAACACAAGGTCCCTATTGAAAACCCAGAGAGAGATTAGATTTACGGAGCTTGTGCTTGCTTCAGGAGGTTACGCCCAACACCCAGTTGCTGCTGCTCTTGACCCCCAACCGCGACGGCCGCAAGGCGGAGGAAAAATAGGTACCGCTTCAGGTTGGTTAAACCGCAACTCGTGGGGGTGACGCAAAGAAGGTATGTCTCAAAATATGGGGGATTGAACGAAAGGGGAATCTTGCATATCCGCTTGAGGTCGGGGAAATTCTATCCAAAGCCCACCTGAATAAGTGTGCTTGCTGCATGCTTTGACTGAATAAAAATCGCAGGCCACACTTTTCTAGTTAGGTTTCGCTGTCAGCGTGCAAATCCCCCTAGATCGAAAGAAGGGGAGCCGCTGTTCTTTAGTCAGCCCGCCTTTTTTTGAATCCCGTTTGGTTAGGGATCTAAAACGCAGGCTATGGGTTCCCATGGTCGAGGTGTACCATAAAACCCAACATCCGTGTTGGAGCGGGCGCCAAAAAAATCCAAAGCACGAGCGAACAATCAGCTTTAGATGGGTTTGGAGGCTGGGTGGTCTCCTTTACACTGCGCAAGAAGCAGGGTTGAAACCAATCCAAACCACCAATCAAGAATCACAAGACAAGAAGCGCCGGAAAGGGTATCGCCCAACCCCCAAAACCTTAAACCCGGAGGTGTACCAGCTGTTCAAGGAGATTGCCTGCTGCGAGCGGCCCTGCATCTCCCAAGTGGTGAGGAGCGACACTATCCGCAAGCGGCAGTCCATCGCGGCGATCCTGAGCAAGGCAACCCCGCGCCCAAAGAAAAAGAAGAAAACAACAGGAGCAGTGTTGCTTTTGGTTTCTTTTCAAGCGGCCTGGTGGCTTGGAGGGTTGGGCGGGGGTGTAGCCATCGAGCTCCAGTTGTTCTTCAGGTTTCGAGCGGCGCACATGTCTCAACTCTTTGCACGGTGTGTCCCATTAAGCCAAACAAGAGCCCCCTTTTTTTCAGGGAAAACCCAGCAAGTTGGGAAATGGTTTCTTCAAGCCAACCCAGGAAGGGAAAGGCTAAGGGACAAATAGTACACATTCACAACCTTGATTAAAGCAAGCAAAAGCGAGCGCCCTAAAACCCCATTCTATGTTGGTTTCTCTATCAAATCTGGGTGTTGGTTCTCGTCAAACAGCAAGGTTTTCTGGAAATCCACAGGGGGCCTGGGAAAGGCTACCTTTAACACACACACACACCCGCGCACACACGCACACATACCAAACCCAGGTGGTCTTGCAGATCAACGCGAAGTTCTTCGGCGCGCTGTGGCACGTCATCCCCAGGGAGCCCGAAGAAAAGGCCTTCGAAGAGTTCCGGACCCGGGCGTTGGGGTTGACGGCGGGCGTGTTTGGACTTTCTCGCGGGCGTGTGCCCTCGATAATGGTGGCTGCCCTTTTTGGCTTTCCATCGAAGCCGCAAAAAGGGTACCTTCAACAAGACAGACCCAAAGAAGGGACTGTCAAAATGGCGGGCTCTACCAAAACAGAGTGTTCCGAGCGGTAAAAAACACACACCCAGCATAGATGGTGTCCTGCTGGTTTCGCTTCAAACTTACCATGCAGGGCGCCATGCTTGGGGCAGTTGGATATTTTATGCGGAAATATTGGTTCACTGGCGCATTTTCAGCTTTGGAGGCGTGGTGATTTAAAAGAATTGCAGTGACTGCTTCAACTGGAAAAAGAATTGCAGTGACTACTTCAACTGATTTGGAACATGTTGGGGCGAACACAACCCACAGTTTGATATTTTCAAGGCTATCCTTTGTGGACTTCCCAAAGAAATGGTCACTCTCAAATCTTGGCCATCCGGATTCTTAGCTTAGCTTTTAGTTGGTGAAAGGGGGTAGTTCCCGTATTTCACCCACAAGTTGTTTCATTTTTGGCAGGGGGTCTGAGGGCCCAGAAATGTGTGTGACACCCTTTCTGCGGGCGTGGGGTTTTGGATATTGGGAGTCGGAAGGAGCGTCCCTTTCATGGTCCTTGGCATCGACGTGTACTGCACCTTCGACGGTCAGCGCTGGCTGGGCCTGGTGGCGACCTTGGACAGGCCCTGCTCACAGCACTTCTCCATGGCGGCCTTGTTGGATCAGCAGGAGGGGCGGCCTCCCCATGAACATGGAACCAATGGAACCTGACGGGGACCCGGTCCCTTTAAAAGGAAAATGGTCTTCCAGGATCCCCCAAACGTAAGGTTCCATGTTTATTGGTGGGTAAGTATGCAATATGGGAAATAGAGCGTAGGCTGAAGTCTTCGAGGAGGAGCGGGGAAAAGAATGAAGCCCTGAGTCCCCCCTTGTTTTCCCTTGTAAACGTCAAGGGGTACCCCTCCTTACTTTCCCTCCAAGACTCCCGTAAAGCAGTAGGCTAAAGAGAAGAGCCTGTAAATTGCTAAAGTGGTCAAACGAGTTGCTTCAACATGTTCAAGCACTGCTTCAGCAATCTCCCTTTGGTGTTTCTCTTTCCAACCCCCTTTTTTTGGATTGGTGGTTTGGTGGTTTTGGGGTGGCTTCCCATTTGCCTTCTACAAGAACCAGGGGTTCAAATCCAAATCCAATCCACCAATCCAAACCACCAATTGAGGGCAACCCGAAACAACTCGCAAAAAGCACCAACCCGCAACATCGCTTCTAGGCTTTTTAGGCTCTTTGCTTCTGTTCATTTCCAGGTCGGGGGAAAACAACAATTGTGGCACCCTCCTTCTTCTTTGTGCGCTGCCCCACACGGGGTTTGGCACATGTTTCCCGGTGAAACCGCCGCCCCCCTCTTCCGACCGAAAAACAGAAGGAAAACAAGGCAAACCATTGAAAAAAATAAAAATAAAATGAAATAAAAAACGTCGCCAGGACTGGCGGGGCTCGTTGTCGCTGAAGCTGCAGCAGCTCTTCCGTGACGCCTTGCTGTGCTTCGCCCAGGCGAACGCCAAGGTGCTGCCGCAGAACTTCCTGGTGTACCGGGCCTCCACGGACCCCAAGGACGAAGAGATCCCGCAGAAGTTGGTCAACTTCACGGCTCTGTTCATTCTTGGTGGTGTTTCGAAGATATGGCTTCCATTTGCTGAAACGATGTGTTTGTTATTTTCCCTTGTTGGTTTTAAAAAGAATTTATCACTACTGGAAGTTGTTTTTTCCAGGGGTCTTCACCAAATGGAAGCATGGCTGTGGGTCAAAACCCTGTACCCCTGGTGAACATCAAAATAGATGGTACGTGGGTCTTCATCCGCCCCAAACTGGAGGCAGAGGTTATGACCCTTGGCCAAATGCGAAGATTTGTCAACTGCACTGGTGGCAGGTGTCTTGTGTTTTTGGGTGTGTGCTTTGTGGGCTGTGTTATTTCATTTGTTGGTCCTGTTCATTTTTAGTGGGGGCTGCAGGTGTTTCTGCTTTTTTTTGTATTCTTGGTTGTAGAAGGGGGGCTGCAAAAAGCAGTTTCCTGCAGCCCCACAGCAAAGGCTGGAAGGTAAAGCTTTCCAGAATCGTTTTTTTTCTCCGAAAGTCAATGGCGTCGAACTTGGTTTTTTGGGTGGGAGGAAATTCCTTGCACATTGCGGGCACCTGACATTTGGAGGGACAAGCAACTGCTCGTTTCGGTCAAAGCTGTCGGGTCCGCTGGCATCTTCCAGACTCCTTGTTCTTTGAGTCCAAAGCGAATCAACTTGACCTTGAACGGTTTTCCAAGGTTCGCCCATGTTTTTCGCGGAGAAAAAATGCCGCATCTTTGTTGGCTAGGTCACCCTTGGATCCATTTTCCTTTTGGCTTTATCTTCGGGACCCTTGGATCCATTTTCCTTTTGGCTTTTTCTTTGGGTGTCACCCTTGGATCCATTTTCCTTTTGGCTTTTTCTTGGGGTGTCACCCTTGGATCCATTTTCCTTTTTGCTGTTTCTTTGGGTGTCACCCTTGGATCCATTCTCCTTTTGGCTTTTTCTTCGGGTGCCACCCTTGGATCCATTTTCCTTTTGGCTTTTTCTTTGGGTGTCACCCTTGGATCCATTTTCCTTTTTGCTTTTTCTTGGGGTGTCACCCTTGGATCCATTTTCCTTTTGGCTTTTTCTTCGGGTGTCACCCTTGGATCCATTTTCCTTTTGGCTTTTTCTTTGGGTGTCACCCTTGGATCCATTTTCCTTTGGCTTTTTCTTGGGGTGTCCACCCTTGGATCCATTTTCCTTTTGGCTTTTTCTTGGGTGTCACCCTTGGATCCATTTTCCTTTTGGCTTTTTCTTTGGGTGTCACCCTTGTCACCCTTGGATCCATTTTCCTTTTGGCTTTTTCTTTGGGTGTCACCCTTGGGACCCTTGGGTCCATTTTCCTTTTGGCTTTTTCTTTGGGTGTCACCCTTGGATCCATGTTCCTTTTTGCTTTTTCTTCGGGTGCCACCCTTGGATCCATTTTCCTTTTGGCTTTTTCTTGGGGTGTCACCCTTGGATCCATTTTCCTTTTGGCTTTCTCTTCGGGACCCTTGGGTCCATTTTCCTTTTGGCTTTTTCTTTGGGTGTCACCCTTGGATCCATGTTCCTTTTGGCTTTTTCTTGGGGTGTCACCCTTGGATCCATTTTCCTTTTGGCTTTTTCTTCGGGTGCCACCCTTGGATCCATTTTCCTTTTGGCTTTTTCTTTGGGTGTCACCCTTGGATCCATTTTCCTTTTGGCTTTTTCTTGGGGTGTCACCCTTGGATCCATTTTCCTTTTGGCTTTTTCTTCGGGTGCCACCCTTGGATCCATTTTCCTTTTCGCTTTTTCTTTGGGTGTCACCCTTGGGACCCTTGGATCCATTTTCCTTTTGGCTTTTTCTTTGGGTGTCACCCTTGGATCCATTTTCCTTTTGGCTTTTTCTTTGGGTGTCACCCTTGGATCCATTTTCCTTTTGGCTTTTTCTTGGGGTGTCACCCTTGGATCCATTTTCCTTTTGACCCTTCCATTTTCCTTTTGGCTTTATCCCTTGGGTCCATTTTCCTTTTGGCTTTTTCTTTGGGTGTCACCCTTGGATCCCCTTTTGGCTTTTTCTTGGGGTGTCATCCATTTTCCTTTTGGCTTTTTCTTCGGGTGCCACCCTTGGATCCATTTTCCTTTTGGCTTTTTCTTGCACCCTTGTCCTTTCACTCCATTTTCCTTTTGGACCCTTGATCCATTTTCCTTTTTGGGGACCCTTGGATCCATTTTCCTTTTGGCTTTTTCTTGGGGTGTCACCCTTGGATCCATTTTCCTTTTGGCTTTCTCTTCGGGACCCTTGGATCCATTTTCCTTTTGGCTTTTTCTTTGGGTGTCACCCTTGGATCCATTTTCCTTTTGGCTTTTTCTTGGGGTGTCACCCTTGGATCCATTTTCCTTTTGGCTTTTTCTTCGGGTGCCACCCTTGGATCCATTTTCCTTTTGGCTTTTTCTTGGGGTGTCACCCTTGGATCCATTTTCCTTTTGGCTTTCTCTTCGGGACCCTTGGATCCATTTTCCTTTTGGCTTTTTCTTTGGGTGTCACCCTTGGATCCATTTTCCTTTTGGCTTTTTCTTGGGGTGTCACCCTTGGAACCATTTTCCTTTTGGCTTTTTCTTCGGGTGTCACCCTTGGATCCATTTTCCTTTTCGCTTTTTCTTTGGGTGTCACCCTTGGGACCCTTGGATCCATTTTCCTTTTGGCTTTTTCTTGGGGTGTCACCCTTGGATCCATTTTCCTTTTGGCTTTTTCTTCGGGTGCCACCCTTGGATCCATTTTCCTTTTCGCTTTTTCTTTGGGTGTCACCTTTGGGACCCTTGGATCCATTTTCCTTTTGGCTTTTTCTTTGGGTGTCACCCTTGGATCCATTTTCCTTTTGGCTTTTTCTTGGGGTGTCACCCTTGGATCCATTTTCCTTTTGGCTTTTTCTTCGGGTGCCACCCTTGGATCCATTTTCCTTTTGGCTTTTTCTTTGGGTGTCACCCTTGTCACCCTTGGATCCATTTTCCTTTTGGCTTTTTCTTTGGGTGTCACCCTTGGGACCCTTGGGTCCATTTTCCTTTTGGTTTTTTTTTGGGTGTCACCCTTGGATCCATGTTCCTTTTTGCTTTTTCTTTGGGTGTCACCCTTGGATCCATTTTCCTTTTGGCCTTTTCTTCGGGCCAGTCCCATCCTTTGGGCGGAGACGGCTCCAGCGCGCCAGGAGTGGCCGCAGGTGGAGGCCCAAGAGGTGAAAGCCTTGCAGACGGTCTTCTCCTCCACCTCTGCGGCCGCCGGGCCCAACTACGCCCCGCACCTGGGATGAAATCGGTGAGTCGACTTGGGAGTTCAGCCGCATTCTTTCTGCAGAAAAACGACACCCGTGCCTCGACAGGTGGGCCGATCAGTGGGTTGTGTTCCCTGGTCATGTTGTTCCAACCCTATGCATGTGTATGATCACTGACAGCAGTGTGAAAAGGTAGTCAACGGTTTGCTGCTTGCCTAGGTATGTCCCCTTAGGTGGCCTAGGCTTGATAACACAGGTTATCAGCCGTAAAGGCTTGTACAAAGATCGCCATGGCATCCGGAGATATGCCCATATACAATATATCTGGAGATGTTGGTGACGGTGGTGATGGTGCAGTTGCATCTACAGGTCCTGTGGACCCTCGCGATCCTCGAAATATGTTTGGATTCGCGACAAGCTACCAGGCCACCCAGAACATCATGCACGTGCACAACAACACGGGTGACGCTGTTCGGGAAGAGGCCAACACGTTACGTCGCGTTGCTATGGATGCTGCAAGAGCGGAACAAAGCGCTCATTTGGCAGAAACCGTGCATCGCCTGGATGAGGAGAACAACCGCCGGACTCTTGAGCTGCATGAACAGTTTGCAGAGTCCCGCGCTTTCTTCAGTGCCCAGGTTAGCCAGATGCGGGGAGCAATTTCTGCCGAGGTGAACGAACGAAGCTGTGTCGCAAAGAACGGCCCAGTACAGCGCGTTCGCACAAAGCTTACATGCTGAGACTGTTGTGGCGGCGAATTCGGAGAAGGCGGCCGGTGAACAGAGAGACAATATCCTGGCGGAGAATCACTCCATGCAGGACACGATCAACGGGCTGAATGACACCGTTGAGCGTCTGAGGAGCAATCTTGAAAAGGCGCAGCGTGAAATGGTGCGCAAAGATCCCCAAGCTGCATCGAGTTTTCAGAACGTCAGCTCAGAGTCATTTTGGACAAAAGAGGCAGTATCTTTGATGATCCGCGTCTTTTCCCAACGCAGAATGCCCAGACTTCCGGACCTATGCCCCAGACTATTCCACAGCAAAGTTGGACAGACCCCATTTCTGATGCAATGCAGTTTGATAAAAATCAGGATGCGAGACGGTTTTCGGAGCAAGACCGCAGCCGAAATCAGCAGAGCCAGCCGACAAATCAGCCGAACGTTGAACGGTTGATTGGTCCCGAGACCACTGAGGCGGAGTTCCGTGCGGCCCTCCTCGGCTTTGTCCGAATCAGCATGATCGGCCCAAAGCAAAGGAAGCTGATTTGTTGAGGCTGAGTGAGTTTCCAACTCCTGAGACCCATAGAGCCTGGAAAACGGCTACTCGCGAAGAGATTCGGGCTGCATCCGATCGGCCTGACGCTGCATTCACCTGGGTGAACAAGGTGACAAGGTGTATGTCAACCGGGAGGACAAGAAGAATCTCATGTTAGAGCTTGGAGATCCAGAGCATTTTGAAACGTTGGATACAAAACTTCTTGCAGCCTTGTCGCGGATTGCTAGGGGCGACCCTAGTCGGCAGATCCTCACCTACAAGGAGCAACAAGCTGCTTTGGACAGAGTTGTCCGTGGACGTCAAGTTCTTCTCATGTTCGAGCAGTATTTCAGAACGAATGAGGAGGCCGGAGCGTTGTATTCCACTGAAGATTTGTTAAAGGTGGTGCTTCATGGCAATGATTTGATGACCTTCATTCAAAATTGGGATTCCGTCATTGCCGGTATGAAGATCGTGCCGGAGCAGCACGTCTTGAAGGACATATTCTTGCGACAGATTTGTGGATGTCACAAGATCAAGTATGACCTTGATACATACGAGCGTGCCAAAGATGGGTCGTATGACAAGAGCTACGAGTTTCTGGTTCAAGCCGTTCGTGATGTTTTGACTCGGAAACGATTGCAGTCAAATCGTGATCGTCTTGCTCGAGCTCACAATCAGAAGGTCGGTGCTCCAGCTCCAACTGCGAATCCTGGGCGTGCAAGAGATTCTTCAGCAGTCAAGTATTGCTTCGATTTTCAGAAAGGCAAGAGCACTCGGGACAATTGCATGTATAAGCATGAGAAAGACCCAAGACCCCCGAGCCAGAATCCAAGGTCGGGGGCGCTCTGACAGCCAGGGAAGGGACAGGGATCGGTCAGCATCGAGAAAGAGAGCGGAGCTGAAGAAGATCCCGTGCAGGTTTTTCAAAGGTGGTCAGGGAAAATGCACTCGTGGAGACAACTGTATGTTTTCACATGAGACTAGGTCTGCTGCACCTGCAACGGACAAGCCGAGCCCAAAGAAAGGAGCCAGCAGAGGTAGGTCTCCCACCCCAAAGGGAAAAGGGAGAAAGCGATCCCAGAGCAAAAAGGGCGAGTCCTCAGCCGCTGTGTGTCTGAGGGTGAAAGAGACCACCCAATAGACCGGATTAGGCAGATTTCTGTCTATTCGGCAAAAGCGCGTTTTCGGTCTAAATCGTGTTGCCCTTGCGGCAAAAAGTTCTGTCTATTCGGCAAAACTTTCGGTCTATTTCTATGATTTCGGTAGGTTCTAAAACCCGAAGTTTCTTGGAAATTTCCGACAAACTGCTTGGTTTTTGGGCTTGCAAAGGTCGCAGTTTCCCGGCTCCACGGCGGATAGCTTTCTGAAGTTTTGTGGCGGTTTGCTGGCACTTTGCACGTGCACGAAAAAGCACAATGTTATTCGATCCGATTGTTTTGCAGGGGCGTGGGCTTGGTCCACAGCAGAATTGATGGCAGTGATAAGTGGCAGTTTGAAAAAAACTAGCCGTTTGGCCGCAGTTTGCTGGAAGTTTGCATAGGTCTATTTCCATGATTTCGGTCTATTTTGGTGTGTCTAAATCAACTAATGTAGGACATGGTTTTAGGTTAAACATACGCTTAACCTAAAAACATGAAATAGGTTTATTAACCAGGCTCCCGCCTGCTGCCGCCGACCCTCGGCGCATTAAGGGAAAAGTCACAAGGACCAGTCCTGAAACACGTCCGCAAACCCAGGGACCACTTATAAGATCCTCTACGACCACAAACAAGGATTAACGGAAAAGTCAGAAATATGGCAGCTAGTCCGTTAATTACCGCTTGGGCCGGCTTGCGCCCAAGTCACTTCGAGTTGGCCCGGGAGCGCCCTGAAACTCCTGGGACCAGTCCCGGGACCCGAGCACGTTCTTTGGGAGATGCCAGTTTCCACATATCTGATGGAATACCAGGTGGACGACTTGACTTTCGGGCTCTCACCAAACGAAAACCATCCCATTGAAACCCAGGCGGAACTGCCGACCCATCCGGCATGTGATCAGGATCGTGATCAGCAAGTCTCTCGGCAGGTGCAGGAGGATCTTCAATCAAAACTTCCTCCGGCACTGCTGCTTCGCCAGGCTGCAAATGTGACTCCGGCTCATATTCCAATTCATCCGGAGAACATGGCTTCTCGTCGGCGATAGCTTGCTTTGCGGGAAAAACAAAAGTCTCGTCAAGCAGGCTGAACTCATACTGCTTGACTCTGAGGGGATTGATGCCCCCCGTCCGCAACTTGTCCGGCAAATTCTTGAGCGGCAATACCAAAATTTCATGTGTGTAGGTAAAGCCAGGTTGCGCATGATGGGCAACAAAAATACCGACATCTGAAGTGGGCAAAAAGTTAGACTGCTTCGAATCGACGCGCTGACGATTGATCCAATACAACAACTTTGCACCAAATCAAATCTTCGTGTCAGGAAACTCATCCCCGAAACGCAAAGCCCACGCCGACTTGTCCTTGTCATCTGGAATTGTAACATTGAGAGCAATTGCATGATGTTGAGCCGCCAAAGGCCAAAGCTCAACCGGCAAACCACTTTGAAACAGATTTGCCCTTGCTCCCTCCAGGATTGTACGGATCTTGCGCTCGATCACTCCAGAAGATTGACTGACATATGGTTGGCTAAGAACATGTCTCCAACCCATACTCTTCACCGCAGCTGCAGTTTTGCCAGAATTGTCAGAATAGAAAATCCCAACGTGGTCATCTGGCTTAATGCACGAACGCAACTGTCAGCATCTTGCCTTGCTGAAGGGTGAAAATACCGGAACTGCGTGAAAACATCTTTCACAACCAAAGCATTCCACTCACCTTTGAACCCATACGTTTCGTCATTCGAAATAACATGGTCAGCAGTTACATGTTACATGATCTCCAAATGCTTTTGCATACACTGAGGAAGATCCATGTCTGCGACGAGCTTGAGGTGCTTGCATCTTTGCTCGTACACATGTTTCGCAAAACGGATTCTTGGGAAAAGATGCTCTTCACTTTTGGCCTCACGCATCATCATTTCTTTTGAACGCTTGGACATCTGCTTTGGAGCTTCAACAACCTCAGGGTTGTCCTCCAATTCCGGATCAAGCTCCGGTTCAGGCGGTTCAGCTTCGTCAGGGCGTAATGGAAACAAAGCGGCATCCGGCGAAGGTCGCCCCCCGCTTGAAGATGAAGGCTTTTCAACGCCCCCGATCTTCTGATCGGATGCTGCAAGCGCAACAGGCATAGCAGATTCGGAAGCTATGACCTCGCACTGATCATCTATGTATGGAACTCGCCCATCGAGCTTCAATATTACCGCCTTGCCGTCAGGTCGCACAAATACGGAGCACTGTTCTTTGTCCATACGAAATCGTACCCCTTCTCCAAGCATCTTTGACCAACGGAAAGAACAGCTGGCGTGCTCGGCAAAACATACGGAGTGACGACCTCGTTCAACTGATCGATCGAGAAGGCCGCAATCTTGTCTGCACAATTGAGCCATTTGCTGTCGAAAGATTGATTGGAGCTAATGCAGGATTGATTTTCTTTTGAAGTGTAACTGCACGCTCTGTGTCAACCAGGTCTTGTTCGTTACCTGTGTCGACAATCCACTGACGAAGTCCTGCTGGTGCTGGCGCGGCAATATGCTCCGGCACTTCATCAGGATTCGTCTCATCATCATCAATCCAACAACCAGGACAATACAAACCGCAATAAATTGGGTCGTTGTCATCATAGTAATCGCAAGAACCCACAAGGCGCGTTGTAATTCCAGAATCAAATCTTTGTCAATAGCATCACTAAGATCTCTGGGTTTGAGCCAGGAGCATAACCATCATACCACACTACCTCAGGATTGTTCGGCTTTGGAGCACACGATAGGCAGAATCCGTTGGCCTCGATCTCGACGATCTCGACATCATCTGCGAATTTGACGCACTTGCTGATATTTGAAACATCCAGTCCAGTATTGCTCCAAACCTTCATCAGGATCCACCCAGAAATCACCAAGAACTTGCTCTAAGCCATTGATATTAGCCTTGGTGATGCGCTGATCCAACAAACGTTCCAGCGAAACAGGAAGGTCTTTTGCATTCTTTGGATCATAAAGCGCCTTTCGGGGCATCACATGGTGTCGAACAACCATCTCATTCACCGAGTCAACCTCCCAGAAATCTTGCTTTGGGCGGCATGCTGCGAGGCATGCATTGCCCAATAGACCGGTTTAGACTAAAAACGGCCGAATCCCGAAATCGACCCTCTGCCTCCCGTCCCAGCCTCCTGCAGAGGGGACCGGCGTGGGATGCAACTGGAAGTGATTGGAATCAATGATAGTCTGTGGGGGACACGCCCGAACGCACGAAAAGTGGATTTCTAGGACCGGTCCCGGGACCGGTCCCCCGGTCCTGGGACCGGTCCTGGGACTGGTCCTGGGACCCTGGTTCTGCTGTTTCAGATTACTTGTAGTCAGCCAAAACCGGTCCTGGGACCCGTCGCTGAGGAGTATCGCGAGGAGCTCGCAATGAAGAAGGAGGCAAATCCAGCTGCTGCAGACGTAGCTGCCACGGCCGTCTGTGTTCAGCCCAATCACGCTGTTCATGGTCAGGGGGGCACGGTCAAAAAGCTCTCGTCGCCGGCAGCCGTTGCATCAGCTATTCCCGAATTGCGTGCCCCTGCGATGCCTGTCACAGTCAATGGAAAAAGGGAAGACTGTTCATGAGCATCGAGCATGTGTCACTGCAGTTATCGAAGAGCACATCAAAGACAACCGTGAAGATTTGGTCAATGCTTTGTTGATGACTGCAGCTGTTGCAAGGCTTATTCCGCGCTCGGAAGTTGCAAGCACTCCTGATGCAAAGAAGGCTTTGGATGTCGAATGGGAGAAGCTCAGAAGCAAGGGTACCTGGGACGAGTCGCGGGTAAACGAATGCAAAACAGTTATTGCGGAAGCCAAGGCAAAAGGGGAAAAGGCCCACATAGCCCGTGTCTGTGTGGCGTGTTACCTCAAGGGAAGCGAGCTTGCTGTGGGCGACCCCAGCCGAAAGTACAAAGGCAGAACTGTTTTCGAAGGAAACCGTGTGGTTGATGAGAACTATGAGCAAGCGATGTTTGCTGAACTTGGTCTTCCCCTGCAAGCATGGAAGCAGGTAAAATCGTAGACCTGTACGGTTCTCAGCCTGGATTTGGTAAGCAGCAAGGGGATGCAAAGCAAGCATACACGCAAGCATTGTTCGAAGGCATCACTACATGGGTGAGACTTCCACGAGACCGTTGGCCCAAGGACTGGATTGGCAAGTCATTGTCACCTTTGATTTTGGCATTGTATGGTCATATTGACAGCGGTGGCTTGTGGGAGAACCATTTCGAGACTGGTCTTCGAAAGAACAAGTGGAGGCCATTGTTGAAAGGCATTTGGCAAAGTGTGTTCTTCCACGATGAGCTTAAGCTTTTGCTGGTTGTTTACGTTGATGACCTGAAGCTTGCTGGCCCAACTGCTAATTTGGCAATTGGGTGGAAGAACATCAAGTCTGCAATCGAGATCGACACGCCGGAGTCGCTCGGAAGACATTTCGGCTGCGAACATGTTGAGCAGAATCAGGTCACATTGGCAAGAGACCATCACCCAATTGCTCATGTGTTCGAAAAGCAGAGCGCAAGTCCTGCCGTCCCTCATAGAACAGAAGATTATTGGGGGCATTAACTGAGGAAAAGATTTGGGTTCGACACCATCTTTATCCCAGAAAGAAGAGGTATGCCCCCGAGAACTTTGAGGGACTGCTGGATCTCCGCGTGACCTATGTCGCAAAGGGCAACTATATGAGTATGTTGAGGACTCGTGCACAGCACAAGCCGATGTCAAGGAGAAGAATTGGTGGACCGGCTGCAAAGTTTTCAGCTATGCCGACCAGGTGGGAGGACACGCAGCCGCTGCAGCAATGAGAAACAAAACTGCTGCAAAGAAACAATCAAAGAAGTCCAAGTTCAAGGAGCTCATTGACATGGATCATCCAAAAGACGGTTGCATGAAGAAACCCGTCAACATCGTACAACAGTCTCAGCATGTAAGCTTTGTGCGAAAGCGCTGTGCTGGGCCGTTCTTTGCGACACAGCTTCGTTCACGTTGGCAGAAATTGCTCCCCGCATCTGGCTAACCTGGGCACTGAAGAAAGCGAGGGACTCTGCAAACTGTTCATGCAGCTCAAGAGTCCGGCGGTTGTTCTCCTCATCCAGGCGATGCACTGTTTCTGCCAAATGAGCGCTATATTCCGCTCTTGCAGCATCCATAGCAACGCGATGCAACGTTGGGTGGGTCTCTGTAGCAACTGTTCAATAGGGCCCTTGAGCGAGATCAGGATGGAGACGGCTGACCGCACAGTCAGGATGGAGCTGTACCGCTTGGAGAGCGAACGCATTTCTGCATTCAAGCTCCTGTTGGGCGATATGCAAGTGACCCCGGCCCAACAGGAGGAGTTGTACACATCGTTTGATCTACACAAGCTTCTCCAAGGTAAGGCATCAGCGCTGCGCAGCAGCTTCGCAACCTTTGCGAAACACCGCCTGAAGTCGCAGAGCGACAAAAAGCCTCGTGCGTGTTGTCTGGGCAGTTCAAAGTGTAGGGGTTGGCCTTTTAATAGAAAGACCATTTGAGTGACCCAATGTTGGGATTATGCTTTGAACAGTTGGCGAGCGCACCATTGACTCCAATGACGTGCTGCAGCTCGAGCGGGGACTCGGTAGGTCAGGTTTCGGCGTCCTGGCTGGGAACCATGCAACACCTGCCTTTTTGTTTTATGTTGTTGGGGACCGTGAGTTTCGACTGCCGCGTTGTTTTTTTCTTAGCACGGAACCCCTGCAAATGCTGAAGTCGTTTTGCTATGCCCCGTTTGAGGAAATAATAGTGCGAACCAGCAGTTCAGAAGCAAACCCGCCATTTGGGGGATGCTCTGAGTTGAAGATGAGCCCAACTGAGCGGTCAACAATCGCGCACAGCTCTGAAGGTGACGTACTCGTGGGGTACAATATCGACCCCTGCCTCAAAACTCTGCAACAGACACCACTGGTTTTGCAAAGAGCATCTGAGGGTAAAGAATGTGACTTCTTTTCTTCGTGGTACTCTGTTCTGGGGGTTTTAAAGGGAAACCTACAAGGAAACCGAAGCCATGTCGGGGGTCCAACCTCAAAAACGGCCGGCCTGGGATATGGGTGGCCTTCATATTATATGGTGATTTTGTTTCGGACCCAACTTTGGCTTGATTCGCCAGCCAGGAACAGCAACGATCATTCAGCGTGAAGAGGACTGAGGCGAGGACTGGACAGCGACTCGGCTCAGGACTCGAATAAACACATCTCTTGGTTCAAAAAGGCATGTTGCATGATGGTGTCCCTTGAGTTCACGTTCGCAGCACTGCCTGAGCGGCGCACAGGTCGATGGTTCTGGAGGAATGGCACATGTTGACCTTGGTGGATCGTGTGCTCAATGCCGCTCGCGAGCGCATGCCGCACACGGAGCAGCGTTCGGCTTGGCCTCTTCCCGAACAGCGTCGGCTGTGTGTGTGTTTTTCAGGGTTACCTTGTTGGGTGCGTTCTACAAGGAAACCAAAGGGAAACCAGTGGGTGACTTTGATAGTAAACCACCCTTTTTGAGGGAAGCAGATTTCAAAAGATATTTGCAATACATGGAGTATTTGGGATACCACCTCCAAACCTCCAAACCAATCCAAGCCTCCAAACCATCTCCGGAGTGGCTGGGCGAATTATAACGAAGTCACACGACCTCACCCCAATGGTGGTGTATGTGGGCAATAGCCCCGCAACCTGATTTCAGGTTGGTGAAATATTACAATTCACCCAGGATGATCCATGGACGAATCTGGTTGGGGGGGGTGGCTCAACCAGAAAAGCCCATCCCCTCCAGGCTGCGCGCCTTTGGCTGGACTTGAGGAGTTATTATTTTTCCCCATCCAGACCTCAACCATAAGTAGCTGCGGCCGCCTTCTTGAGTCTTTACATGGTTTTGGGTAGACCATTTTAATACCAGGTTTTGATTCTGACTCACATGCCATTAAAACAAAAAACCCACATCCTTGAACAACACGTCTTTAAGAGAAGCCACACATACTTTAAGCATACATCCTTGAAGCATCCCCACACAATGTCCTTCATCCTTTGTTTCCAAGGAAGCTGACCTTCATCACCATCGCCAAGCGCGGGAACCTGCGGCTCTTCTACCCTGCCCCCGACTTGGCGAACTTGCGGAATCCCGAGCCGGGCATCGTGCTGGATGACCCCGCCCTGTGCGCTGGCAAGGTGCGATGCCTCCAAACGGCTTTTTGTTTTACTAGCTTGTTTTTGTGTGTTGTGTTCGTTCTTTTGTTTTTTTTTGTTTTGTTTGTTTTTGGTCTTTTGTTTGTTTATTTGTTTGTGTGTGTGTGTTGTGTTTGTTGCGTTGTTGGCCGGTTGTCGTTTTTGTTGTTTGTTGGATGCTTCCAAAGCTTTTTGTTACAGGGCTCCTTAAAAGATACATTTTGCAAACATTTGGAACATGGCTTTTTCCACCCAAACAGAGGGAAGCAACCATTTACAAGTGGCAATGTTCAGGTGTATAATGTAAGGATCCCTGTATAATATGTTTTTGTTGTTGCGTTTGTTCTTTTGTGTTGGTTGCTTGTTTGTTTGGTTGGTTTGTTTTGGCTTGTTTGTTTGCTTGTTTGTTTATTTTCTTTGTTTGTTTGTTTGTTGTTGCGTTGTTTGTTGTTTGTTGTTACGTTTGTTCTTTTGTTGTTTGTTGCGTTTGTTCTTGTGTGTTGTTTGTTTGCTTGTTTGTTGGGTGGTTTGTTTTGGCTTGTTTGTTGTTGTGTTTGTTGTGTTGTTTGTTGTTTGTTGTTTGTTGTTGCGTGTGTTCGTTTGTGTTGTTTGTTCGCCTGTTTGTTGTTGTTTTTTTGGCTTGTTTGTTGTTGTGTTTGTTGTGTTTGTTGTGTTGTTTGTTGTTTGTTGTTTGCATGTGTTCGTTTGTGTTGTTTGTATTGTTTGTTTGTTGGTTTGTTTTGGCTCGTTTGATTGTTTGCTTGTTTGTTTGTTTGTTTGTTTGTTGTTGTGTGTGTTGTTTGTTGTCTGTTTGTCTGGGTGTTTTGTTATGTTGTGTATTGTTTTGTTTTTTGCGTTGGTTTGTGTGTTTGTTTGTTTGCTTGCTAGCTTGTTTGCTTGTTTGTGTGTTTGTTTGTTTGTGTGTGTGTGTGTTTGTGTGTTTGTTTATTGTGTTTGTTGCGTTGTTGTTCTGTTGTCGTTCTTTTGTTGTTGTTGTTGTTGTTGTTGTTGTTGTTGTTGTTGTTGTTGTGTTTCTTGTTTAGTGTTGGTTGTTGTTTGCACTTTTTCTTGTTGTTTGTTGTGTTTTTGTTTGTTGTCGTGTTTGTTGTTTTGTTAAATGTGCTGTGTGTTGCTGCGTGTTGCTTGTCGTTGTTGCTGTTGTTATACCAACTGTTGTACCAAACGCCTTTCTGTTATACCAACTGTTTGTTGTTGTGTTTGTTCTTATGCGCGGTTTGTGTTTGTTGTGTTTCGTGTGTTTGTTGTGTTTGTTGTGTTTGTTGTGCGTTGCGTTGTTGTTCTGTTGTCGTTCGGGTGTTGTTTTGTTGTTGTGTTTGCTCTTGTGTGTTGTTTGTTGTTTGTCGTTATTTGGTTGTTTGTTGTTGTGCTTGTTCTGGTTTATTGTGTTTGTTGTGTTTGTTGTGTTTGTTGTGTTTGTTGTTCTGGTTGTTGTTCTTTTGTTGTTTGTAGTTGTGTTTGTTCTTGTGTTCTATTTGTGTTTTGTGTTGTTGTGTTCTTGTCGTTTTTTGTTGTTGTGTGTGTGTGTGTGTGCTCGTTTGTGTTGCTTGTTGTTTGTTGTTTGTTGTTGTGTTTCTTGGGTTTGGTGTGTGTTTGTTTGTGTTTTTGTTGTTGCTTGTTGTTTGTTGTTGTGCGTTCGTGTATGTCTGGTATTTGTTGTGTTTGTTGAGTTGTTGCTCTGTTGTCGTTATTTTGTTGCTTGTTGTTGTTATTGTTTGTTTGTACTGTTTGTTGCTTGTTGTTTGTTGTTTGTTGTTTGTTGTTGCTTTCGTTGTTGTTGCTGTTGCTGTTGCTGTTGTTGTTGTTGTTGTTGTTGCTGTTGCTGCTGCTGTTGCTGTTGCTGTTGCTGTTGCTGTTGCTGTTGTTGTTGTTGTTGTTGCTGTTGGTTGTGTTGTTGTTGGCTGTGTTGTTGTTGGCTGTGTTGTTGTTGGTTTTGTTGTTGTTGGTTTTGTTGTTGTTGTTGTTGTTGTTGTTGTTGTTGTTGTTGTTGTTGTCGCTGTCGTTGTCGTTGTTGTTGTTGTTGTTGTTGCTGTTGTTGTTATTGTTGTTGCTGTTGTTGGTGTTGTTGTTATTGATGTTGATGTTGATGTTGATGTTGTTGTTGTTGTTGTTGTTGCTGCTGCTGTTGTTGTTGTTCTTGTTGTGGTTGTTGTCGCCGTCGTCGTCGTCGTCGTCGTCGTCGTCGTCGTCGTCGTGTTGTTGTTGTTGTTGTTGTTGTTGTTGTTGTTGTTGTTGTTGTTGTTGTTGTTGTTGTTGTTGTTGTTGTTGTTGTTGTTGTTGTTGTTGTTGTTGTTGTTGTTGTTGTTGTTGTTGTTGTTGTTGTTGTTGTTGTTGTTGTTGTTGTTGTTGTTGTTGTTGTTGTTGTTGTTGTTGTTGTTGTTGTTCTTTTGTTGTTGTTGTTGTTGTTGTTGTTGTTGTTGTGGTTGTTGTTGTTGTTGTTGTTGTTGTGTGTGTGTGTGTGTGTTAGTTTGTGCCGTTTGTTTGTTGCTGTTTGTTGCTGTGTTTCTTGTGTTTTTTTGTGTTATTTTTTTTGCGTTGTTGTTCTGGTGCCGTTCTTCTGTTGTGTGTTGCTGTGGTTGTTGTGTTTGTTGTGCGTTTGTTGTGTTTGTGGTGTGTGTGTGTGTGTGTTCATTTGTTGTTTGTTGTCGTTTGTTGTTTGTTGTTGTGTTTTTTGTTTTGTTTGTTGTGTTTGTTCTTTGTTGTTGCTGTTTGTTGTTGTGTGCGTGTTGTGTGTTTGTTGTATGTGTTGCCTTTGTGTTCTTTTGTTGTTTGTTATTGTTTTATTGTTTTTGTTGTTGTATTTATTGTTGTTTATTGTTGTTTGTTGTGTGTTTGTTGTGTGTGTGGGTTGCTTGTTTTTGTTCTTTTGTTGTTTGGTGTTGTTTGCTGTTGTTGTTTGTTGTGTTTAGTGGTATTGGGTTGTGTTATTTTGGTGTGTTTATTGGTGATGTGTTTATTACTTTGTTGGTTTTGCTGTTTGTTTTTGTTTTGTTGTTTTTGTAATACTATTACTGTTATGATTATTATCATTATTATTATTTTGTTGCTTGTTGTTTGTTGTTGTTATTGGCTGTGTTTTGGTTGTTCTTGTTGTCCTTGCTGTTGTGTGTTGTCGCTGTGTTGTTGGCTTTTGTTGCAACACCTTCTTATGACAACATTTCCACTTTCGACAGGGGTTCCCTCCATGTCCCTTTCAAGGGAACTCCAAAAGTGGCGATGGTTTCAATGGACTCCACCAGAGAATTCCAACTTGTGAGGTGTGTTTGTTCTTGGCTTCAGCTTCCGCTCGCTGAATTGAGCCTGGGTTATTTTTCCCGATTCTAGTTTTCGTTTGGAATTGATCTCACTGAAAATATGGTTCATTTTGTCGCAGTGGGCTTCAGCAAATGAATGGAAGTGGTTAATAGCTTTTGAGGTTCTCAGTATGGAAGTCAGGGGTGGGGAACCAGGCCTTGGCGTTTTTCCTCCGGTTTGAAACGTCGGCCTTCACGTTCAGACCGCGATTTTGTGCGGTGTTTCTCATAATTCCTCTTGATGTGCTGGCTCTCTGGTTGGATCCTTTGACTTTTTCTGGTTGATCCCCGGATGTTCCGAATTGGACCCACAGTGGGGTTCGCTTTTTGCAGAGGGGGCGTTACAGCAACCAATGTAAAGTCAAGCAACCCAAAAGGCTGCCCTTTCTTTCCCATGCAAATCCACAAAGGCATCTCCCCTTTTTTTTTGGATTGCGGGCTCCCATGTTTTCGTTATCAACTAACCCCAACAAAAACATGGGGCGACAATGCCCTGCTTTAAGCCCATGGACATCCGAAAAGCAGCAGCTGGGAGTCGCCCCCTTTTTTCGCCCATGGGAACATGTCAAAAAGGGGCACCGCGCCGCGCCGCACGCACGCACGCACGCTACATCTTGTTGCTCCACCAAGTAGCTGTTGGCGACAGCTCGCAAGCCAGCCGCCTTTCAAGCTATGGATGACTCCATCGGATCAGTCGGATCTCCTCGCAGGTGCCCAGCTTCTACATGATCTCCCAGGCCATCGTCAAGGGCAGCGCCATCCCTACCCACTACTCCGCGCCATGGCAACCACAGACATCTGGCGGTGGCGAGAAAACCGTTTTTTGTTTTTTTGCTCGCACCCTGAGCTAAGAAACCCAAGGGCAATGATGCGCGAGTTTGCTGGAAATGGCGGAATTGTGCTTGGTTTCAACCATGGTTTCTTGGAGCGAAAGGAATTCAACCATCCGCAGTATGGTTCTTTTGCTTGGTTTGCAAATCACCCCGTTCTTGCTGGTGCGATAGGCAGGGAATGAGAAATAGAATGCCCCCTAAAAACAACAGGCAACCTTTAGTTGGCGGAAACGGGTGAACATGTGCTACCCATTGATCGTCTTTAGGCTTGAAAAGTGATGTCACAAGGCTTGGCCAACCGATCTTCAGGTCGTGTTGAGTTGTTGCTTTGGATTGCCCCCGGCTCTTGCAGAGGGTAAACAGTCAGCTCCCTCCCCCAAACCACCAATCAAAGGAAAGCTGGCGGGCGCTCCTTTGGTCTAGCTGCTGGTTCCCTTTTGCTTTCCGTTGCTTAAACCTGAATTGGTGTTTTGCATTGGCTTGAGGATTTGGAATCCCTGGCTCTCAGCCGCTCCCTTCCAAGATGATCACATCACTGGAGATAGGTTCCCATTTCGATGCTTGCACTTTCTTCTGGTTTCTCTTCTGTTTCCTTTTGGCGAGTGTTTTGCTTCGGCTGTTTCTCGAGCTCCAATGCGGAGCAACCCTGTTGGTCGGGCGGTTGGCAAGTCGATTTGGTTCTTTCAGCAGGGAATTCTCAAATATTGGTAATGGTAGGATCCATTTGACCCACTAAAGGTTAAACTTTTCAACAGGGGATCTGAGAAGTGCCGGCCGCTTTGGCAACGGGGCCAAAGGGAAAGCAACAGTGGAGACGTTGGTTTCCTTCACTGTTGTTGGATCATTTTTAGAATGGTCTTAGTTGCTTTTGTTGGTCCTATTGGTTTTAGTAGGGGGATGCAAACGACCAGGTTTTTGCTACGCCATGGGGAAGTGTGGAAGCATCCAAAGCTAAGCGGATGCGGCTTCAAGTGTTAGAGGGAGGCCCCATAAGTTGCGACCCATGGCCAGTTCCTTTCATGCAACCGGTACAAATCGATTTTCTTGATCTAACATTTGGTCGTTCACAGGTCAGGTTTTCTGTGTTAGTTCATGGTTCTCAAAGGTAATTGCCGGTTATTTTCATGCCTTCTGAGCCACAAGTGAAGGTTTGCACGGGGACAGGGCCGCACCTTTGCCATGGGCGCAGTGCTGGTTCTTTGCATGGGCGGATCCCTATGCGAGGATTTGATCCACTTACATCCTGAACTCCTCGACTTCAGGGCTCATTAAAAGATACATGTTGCAACCAATTGAAACATGGTTTGTTTCCACCAAAATAAAGGGAAACCGCCATTTGCAAGGCAATGTTCAGGTGTATAATGCATCCGGATCCCTGTTCATGCATGTTGCTAGTTGGGACCTCCTTGTCGGCCAATCCACTCGTGGAGTGGGCGGTGGTTTGGGGCCTTGAGTTGATGCTTTTGTCCATTTCAGGCAGGGCAAGAGCACTTGGGGGGGTTCGGAAGTTCGACTCCTTTGGTAGGTGCTGTTGCAGGGAGACATGACCCTGGACTTCATTGAGAACTTCACTCACCGACTTTGCCTAATGTATTTCAACTGCTCCGCCGCCATCAGCCTGCCTGCTCCAGTCATGTATGCGAAGAAGCTGGCGTTTTTCGTGGGCACGGTGGTCAGGAAGCCACCTCACAAGCGCTTACAAAGGACACTTTTCTATTTGTAGCAAATGGCTCAGGAGGTTCGGTGCGGACCGAGCCGCTTGTCACGGACCACTTTGTCAATGGGATTTCTGGATTGTGGCCCAGTGTTTGAACGTAGATTTAAGCCTCAATAAGACCCTTCAAGGCCCAATTGAGACTCTCCAGAGCGGCTCACGCGGGAAGCTGGAAGCTTCTTTCCGGTCGTGCGGGTTTCTGGCGTCGGTGCAGCCTCAGTCACAGCTTCGGTCGTCTAAGTTAGCGCCTCTGTCAATGAGGAATCCCAGGCGCTAATTTGGGACAGCTAGTAGTTCAGTACATTACTCTGGAAATCTCTGAAATGTGGAAGCGCGTTGCGGAGATGCGACTGTTGTGTCCCGGAGCCCGACGTATAAGGAGAAAGCATGTGCGCAGACAAAAAGCACAAGAGCCAAACGAGAGACTTGTTTGGCCCAAATGTTTCGAAATATATCCATTTGTGAGCAACCCAGGCCTTTGTGACTTGGCTGGGATTTCTTGGCACTCGAGGTCTGGCTCAATGCGGAGCTCTGGGAAATAAAAGGAGCTTTTCCGGCCTTGGACTCCCAGGACTCCCGGTCCCTGAGCTGCTTGGTGCTTTTTGGTTTGGGATGTCCATTGAACCCACTAAGAGTTACCTGGACCCTCAAACTACCCATAAAAATGGGATATCACCAACCATAATTTTGGGGGTCTTTGACCCATTTGTAAGGGAATTTTGAGGGTTCGGGTAGAAGCTTTCAGCGGATCTGAAAACGGACAGAGGTCCTTCCCAGAGGTCGTTCCCGGGTTAGGACGTCCAAGGCGAGATGTCCGCACTGCTCGCATGTGGTTCCTGCCCGGCCTTTTTTGGTTTTTGCAGGGGAGCGAAGTAGAGTGACGTAGAGAAACTTTCACACCAGGTTCCGGCCACTGCTTTTTCCTTCAAAGTCCTAAGTACTGTCCAAAAGAGCTGGTGCTTCGTGCTGGAAGGTGTTCTGCATGATCCATGAACCAGTCTGTTTGGGGGGGGGCCGGGGCTCCCGGGGGGATGGCTCGAGGGACCAACCCATCCCCAGGCGCGGCTTTTGGCCGGACTTGAGGAGGCGTCTGGGGGAGTCTGGTGTGTGTGTGTGTGTGTGCTGATCTTTTCTTTTGTGCTTTCAGCTAGGTCCAGCGAAAGGGTTCCCTTTCTCACCCAACTTTTCTGGTTGGGAGGGTTCGGGGCCCTAAAACAGACAGAAAAACGTCACGGTGCCAACTTATTCCAACCTCTCAAATCTGGAACACCTGGTTCCAAGTTGGGAAATCCAGCCTCCGAGTCGGGAACTCTCTCAAGTCCCCGCTTCCACCTCCAAAATTGGCTTCAGTTTCATTGAATGCGTGACGTTGCCCTTGGGATTAACCATTAAAGTTTCACAAATTCCCCAGTGGCTCGCAAACAGGCGACTCCGGCTTCAACTTCTGATTTGGGCAAGGGGGTTTACTTGAGGGCGCCCTGCTTGGAACAGACAAGAGGGCCACCAACCATTTAAATGCGTCCTTTCTTCAGGTTGCCTTCTTTGGACTTTGAAAGTCATTTGGAGACCACTGCTGGGCAACATCCTCTTCATGGGGTCCGTGTGCCATGCAAACTTGAGAGCTGCACAGAGCCCATGTTGAAACCCTGAGTGAACATCAGCATGTTGCAGAATTCGACTCCATGTTTGTCTGTGGGGGTGTATCTTTTTGTGAGGGACCCCCAAAAGGGTTGGCTCACTTGCCCCAAGCCCGTTGGCATGTTGACGTTTCCCTGGTTGGCATGCTGCACCCCATTTTTGGTACAGGTCCCAAAAGGTGATCACCTATGTCCAGGTCCCATCGGGGGCAAGTGACGTGGGTGTTCCTTTGCTAGGTTCCCCAGCTAGGTGCCGACTTTTACCTTTTTTCTTTTTTGGGGGAGGCTTCGGGACCCTGCTAAAATAAAAAGAAAAAGGAAACGGTACCAACTTATTCTGCTCTCTCTAGTGGAGGACCTTCTTAGGGGTTTCCCTTGAAAACCACAGCAGCGACCAAAGACGTGAGCGAGCCGTCCGGGAGGTCGCAATGGTGCCCAGCGCTCAGTTGTTGTTTCCTCGGTCGGGTGAAAACCCGCACCCGTCAGAAGCTGACCAAATCCGATTCGCATCGCTTGGTAGCTGGTGTACTTGTCTAGGGTTTCCTCATGTTTCATCTATCCCAACTTGTGCAGGATTTTGTCCACCCACAGGTTGCGGGGGTACCTGAAAACCAAAGTCAGTCATAGGAGAGAAGTTTGTGGAAGCAGATTTGGCCGCCCTTTATATTCCCCCACCCCCCGAGAAGAAAAGAAGAAACTTGAGGAAGACTAAAACAATAATCTGGGATCGGTGCTAGTGGTCATTTTGGCCCAAGCGGGTCGCGCCCCCAACCGAAATTGGCAAACACGTTTGGATGGGATCAACTTGCGAATCATGGCAGGGGGAGCCTTGACAGTAAAACCAGCTGGCATTGGTTATGCAGGGTGGTGCATTTTGGGTAGGATTTGGTGGACTTTCGAAGCCAAGGGATCCGTGGTACCTATGGTACCAGGCTTCAAGAAAGGAATACCGGAGGATTCACTCGTGCGAGTTGACCGGATCCCGAAACCAGCAGGACTACAATCGCTACGTCATCTCGTCGATCAGGATCCATGACCAAGGGGGCCCATCATTTTGAGATTTTTAGTTAGCGGCAAATTGGTTGTGCGTTTGGGTTCTTTTTAGGCTTCGCCTGCAAAATTGACCCAAATTCGGGTAATTGTCCCTCAAGGAAAACATCAGAAGATTGGGGCATTCGATTTGTGTCCAGGCTCCGTAGCACGAACCAGTTTCAGTCTTGTGTGGGCATTTCAGAGCACCAGTGACTTCTGGTTTCCTTTCGTATCGAGACGACGGTCCACAATCCCCACCTTTGGGGGGTGCTCAATAAAATGACTCAAGCCGTCCGATGCCAAATTGTTCGAGAAAGCTCGCTTAAGACGACACCCATGAAAAATCCGTTCCCTGAAAGTTCCGATGCTTTCCTTTAAACCTTGGTAATGTACCAATCCGGATTCTTATGCCAGTTGTTTAGTTAGCATTTGATGTTGCTCAACACCATCATGTTGTACTGCCTGGGTTCAAAGCAATGTTCGGAGTCCTCATAGGTGGCCTGTTTAGGTTAGTTTGTAAATGGCACTGGAGTATATTGTTTTTATGCCCCCCATTTACCAGGGAAAGCCACATAATATGTTCAACCAAAAGGACGCCTATGATGGTCCTGTCGCTCAGGTTGCCCACTGCGGCTCGCCAGGCTGGCAGCGAAGCAGCACGCAAGGCAGGTTTCTTCTCTTTCTTTCTTTTTTCCAGCTCTTGGAAGAAGCAGCCTCGAGAAAAAATAGGTTCCACATGGAACTTGACAGGGGTCTGTAAGACCCTGGCTCGCCAGTTGCTGTTTTTGTCCATGCACTTTACCCCAAAAACCAGCAACCGTGACTGCAAAAAGCAGCAACTTGGCTATCAAGGACGATGCTCATAGCTCGTGCTATGTTCCTTTTGAAAGGGCCCTTTGGTGGGTTCCATGTTAGTCAGCGTCAATCCGGGGTCAACACAAATGCGCTCGGTTGATTCGGATTCCTTCTTGGTTTTGGTTTGCGGGGAATGGTTTTGGAGGCTCCTAGGTATCCCTGAAACATCCAAGTTCCGGTGTCGCACGGGGTGCAACCACGAAAAACATGGGAACCACCGCGTTTTTCGGACAAAACCTCGGCCCCAAGTCGAGCTTTGGCCAAGCCCGAGGGCTCGGGCAAAGCTCGGCGAGCACCAGAGCCCTCCCACTTGGTTCAAGCCAAGTTCGGTGCACAAAGCCCAACAAATTGGCCATGTTAGTCGGTGGCTCTACCAACCATGGGGTTCTAAAGCCCATACTCACTTCCCGAGTTCCTAGACTTGATACTTGTTTTGGGACAACCTTTTAATTGGCAAACAAAGAGCTCTTGGGAGCTTTTGCCAATCCAATCGTTCGGAAGTGAGAATATAAACCTGCCCCCCCCCCCCCCCGACCCTCCAATGGAGCACCCCGACCAATTCCTCAAGGGCCCTCAACAACAACCCAAAAGAGGGCCCAAAAACAGTCGAATCGGACCCCTTAGGGCGTAACCATTTTCACCAACCGAGCGCCTCTCATCTGTGCATGGGGCTTCTGTCCATCGACTTCTTTTTGGGCTGTTGGCACTGTTGATGGACCAGATCCGTTCGATTTCACCGCGAAATGAAACCATGGCTGTGTTTGCTTACAGGGGAATCATCATTCCAGGATGGTGCAGGATGTTGGTCCATCCACAGCATGTTTCCCAGACTGAATCCGTGTCTTGGCCCAAGTTCCCCACAGCAAGAGGCGCGAAAGGCCATACCTACCAATTCCAAGTCAAGGTCTTGGATGAATGCATGGATGGGGATGATGGGGGCCCGCAACCCCTAGACCAGGAATCATTTTGAGACCAACTCACACAGAACATAGACGCTGTGAGGGCCCCCAAAAGGAGAATGATTCCGGACCTGCCTCTGGCTGAAAATTTCTGAGGTTTCATGTTAAACCGAAAAAAAGAAGGAGGAGATGCCGAGGAGTTCTTCGCCCAATTTCTTCGCCCCCCCCCAAATCCCCCGGTGCCGCGCTTCGATTTGAGGCCGTGGACGTGTTCCGAGCCTTGCAGAAGGTCTGCTCACCGGCGGGCAAAGGCGCTCGACAGCGGGCGGGACAACCGTTGGACGTGTGGACGTGTGTGTGTGTGTTTTTACTTCGCTGTTCTTGGATCATGTTTTTGTTCCGGTTTTTTAGTTGTTTGGTTCTGTTGATTTTTACTGGGGGTCTGCAAAAAACAAAGTTGTTGCTACCATACAAAGAGTAGATATGTTTAGTGTTTGCACAGTTGGTTTGTTTTGTTTTGATGTGCCACGGTTGCTTAGCTGTGTGTTGTACGGCTGGGTTGCTTTAATCAGAAGCCGGAAGGGAAACATACTTTGGAGGTCGTTCCTGATTTTCAGACAGTCCAGATATGAATGTGTCTTTGTTTTGATGATACCCACTTTGGGAGATGGAAGAAAGGGGGAATGCCACCATTGGGAACCCTTGGTTTCAAGACACGTCCACATTTTGCCGAGCAAAAGGACCTGATCTGACTCGTGTTTTCGTTTCAGTCCGCAAAGCTTTCCCACAGAAATTGCTCCAGGTACGTGCCGGACGTCGAAGGTGTTGTACACTTCTGTCCACCATCATGGAACCTGAAGCTTCGTCCAAAACCATGACTTCAGAGTTTGCCCAAAGGGTGGTTTCCATGGCGTTGGACGGGCGGGTATCGTTTTGTTTGGCAAGTAACACGTCAGGTGGGTGGTTTTGGATGGGAGCTGCATTTGGATGACTTCCATTTGCTTAAGATTATTTTATGATCTTTTATGTTTCCCTGTTGGTTTTAAAAGGAATTTGTCACTGGACATATTTTCCATTTTTTTCCGGGGGTCTCAACCAGATGACAAAGAGAGC